ATATGAAATCACAATATTAATTTTATTTAAATACAAAAATTATTACATGGTTTTCTCAAATATGAGGCTAAAATTCGGCCAAACGTTCAATGCACTAATTTCAACCTATTTTTGTTTTTTAAAGCATTATAAATAAAATTTCATTTTGCTTCAACGTTCTCGGAGTTTCTACATGATGTGGTTTCTACAAAAAAGCCAAAATGTTTCGGTCAATGATACCGATTCATTCAATAAAGAAGAAGTATATAGACAATGGCTGGCGGCTGTGATTTTTTCATCTTTCACATTTTTATTAAACATCTATGTCTTGGTCGTAACTTTGATATATGAATGGAAAGTACAAAAAGAAAACAGAGAAATCATGAACCGAATTCGTCAGGAGAATCGATATTCAAGAATGAGAAAACATATAACTAGTGACGTCATGAGATACTTAATCATTGCGTTTCTGTTTTTGTTCGTTGCTGTCGGATGCCTCGATGCTATTGAACTACGTCATTCTTATGACCATGAAGTGGATCTGTGCAAAAACCTGCGATATGTGAAGCATCTTTTAGTGGCCATTTGTCTCTTTATACCGTATCTGATTTACTGGATGCGTCAGAGACAATTTTACAAGTCAGATTTACTAAAGCCAATATGCAACAAATTTATGCAAGTATTGAGTTGGCTCGTCTTAGCTTTTGTTATCATTGCTGTGCTTACGGGTTTACTCGTATTGGTTGTTCGTGGTGAATATAGCAATACCCTAATTGGTTGCGCACCAGACAAAATATTTCCGGTTCCCTTATTGCTGTTGCAAATAGCAGCTATGTATATTGCTATGGCAATTTTCCAATTTTCTTTACTTTTTCTCTTTGTTTATCCTTTATGGAAACTAAGAAACATTCATAATGCAAATTCCAGACGATTATTGAAACGAATTAAACGTTGTTCAATTGCTACAGCTGTATCGATCTTTGTAATGACGGTTGGTCCTTCAATTTCTTCTATATACAATTCGTACTTTCACCTGTTAATTTTTGATTCGCTTGTATTGGAATTCGTAGTCCTAGTTGCTACTATCTGTGTCATAGCTTCCTTCGATGAATGGAAACTTAGGCTGTTTCCGTTTGCTCATCACGTCACATTAGTTCAAGCTACAATCACAGATAGGCCTCACAGTCATTCTTATCATAATACTACTATTTTCGGATGAATACATAGAAAATTGTTTGTGTCTAAGACTGCCTCCCATTTTGATGTCTACGGGGGAAGAATTATGATAATTATCATATCATTTTCCGATTTTTAACTTTTTGCACAATTTACGTGAAAATATCGTTGTGTCTGTTTCTCAAGAATTTTCCTTGCAAGAGGTTCCCCGACCTGGGTTGAAATCACAAATTTAATATGATATAATCAACCATAAACTACAGCCTATACGATGTTTGAAAAAATAGGTCTACTCATGGAATTCACATTTAATCACTCATATACATATCTTGTTTTATATGTTGTGCTTATATAGTGATATTAGGTATCATTAATATTCATTCTTTGAACAAAATATGCTATTGCAAAATGTTTTGTATTTCTATTGATTCGTTTTTATTCTTTATTACACACCGTTGTAGTTTATAATATGTAGGTTTATCTTGTACTTTATTATTTATCGCTATCTTTATTCGTTGTAGTTTATCTTCTCCAAGACTAAGAATTCAATTCACCAAACTCAAATCATAATTGAATCAAATATAAAAAGGATACGTGTGAGTAAAGCAGTGATTATTTGAATTCCTTCCTCCGCCTATTTTTACATAAACAATACTTTCTTATTTCAGTTTTTCATGGATGCTAGCCATTTCTGGTGTTGTTTGCATGTCGCAACCCTAATTTTGTACAGTTCAAGTAGTTTATTGTGTGTGTGTAAATGAACATTATACTAACAACAATAATAATATTATAAATGAGGAATATTAGTAATATAATAGCAATTACAAAGCAAAATTTTCTTCCAAAAAATGACAAAACTCCTCCCTGTGGTGGAATTCCTACTCGTTGGGAAAGGTGGGGTGTAGTTTGTGTTATTGATTAAATCAATAACAATTCTATCATGATATATGTATGTATTTTTAGTAGATTATCATTAATTACCATATTTTTGTTTGATATTATTTCTTGAAATCATATTGAGTATAAAATGCGTTCCAAGGTAAAATTATCAGAGCATTGAAACTTTTTACGGGGTCGGTATTGTTGGTGGGATACGCTTCAGTTTCGCTCGATTCGGATTATCTTTTAAAAAACCAATTTCCATGATGTTGATGAAGCAGTCTTCACTTATTCAATAGTGAATAAAAATGAACATTTGGATTTATTGCTAAGTCAGTAAGATAAATGAGCATTTTTTCGGCGCGGGAAACACCTTGCAGTCTAATTTGTCAACATTTTCAATTTTTATTATGCAGTATCAAGTTTCAAAGATGTTTCCGGTGCGAAGCTATTGGAGAATGCCACATGTAGGCTATAGTTTTTTACAAACATATACATATATTTTACATATATTTTACAATACATATATTACAAACATACCGTTGTTTTTCGCAATTGAATACGATTCGATTGAAACTACAGATTGTTTTACAGCAGCGATTCATCAACTTGAAAACTGACTTGAAAGGTGATATTTTGCTCACAACAATTGAAACGTACATATATTATCTCGAATACAAAAAGGTTGCTATCGCCCATGGGCAGTAAATTGCCTGTTGAAACCAGTGGTGAGACTGAGAGGGTTAGCGAACTTGTTCTGTGAATGTCGTGATATCGGCGAAGCCGTTCTTGTTGTTTTTTGTTTTAAATTAGACGACATCAGCATATGCGATACAACGCAGCTGAGGACTAGCGTTATATTTAGAGTTTCGAAAGTTATGTGTTAGATTTATGCAAAGCGTTTTTCGCTTACGCGGTAACACACAATCATACACGCATTTTCTGAAAATAGGGAACCTGTCGTGAGTGAGTTCGATACAAAATAGAATGTTCTCAAAATTTTGAATCCCTCCAAGTCCACTGCTGTAAATCCTAATCCGAAATTTCATGGTAAGAGGTACCGTAGACCATAGGTTCTCAAAGTGCTCCGTACGGAGCCCCAGGGCTCCGCGAAAGTAACCCAGGGGCTCCGCGAGCTATTAGATTACTTTTCAAAATACTGACTTGGCTAATTTAAAACTGTTCCGAGAAGCAATAACAGCTTCGATGAAATTTGACAACAATATAGCCTCGAAATATGGCAAACGGGCGGAATTAAAAAATGACATTATTTATAAGCATGAGCGCAGCCAGGGTTCTTAAGAGGGAGGAGGTTCAAAATTGGAATCGGAAATTTACGCGCAACATTCGTGGCGATTCAAAAAAAACGGATAACGAGATTTCTGTTGCGTAAAATATTCAATCCATGACCGATGCGAGCATCTAAAGTGTCTTGTCGTAATAATTTAATTGTGCTCATCGTTACTCACGTTCGATTCGAAATTACTATTTGAATTACTAAAATGATAAAATACTATTCTATAATAACATAAACTGCCGGATAAACTGCTAACTATAAATAAATTGGAGTCGTATTTTTGCGATCTTGGGATTTGTTAAACTTGATTTGTTTTTTCGCACTCGAGATTATTTTTAATTATTAAGCAAGATGTCGCCGTTTGAAAAATCACAAGGTCTTGGCAAAATACGAACAATTGAAATTTATTTCAGTGCATGCGGCTCTGTCGGTAGTTTCAGAAAGGAAAAATGTTACATCGCGCGCACAATTAATTGACTGTGTTTCAATTTCGCAGTTACTACGATGAATAACCAAAACCTAACATAACACCAAATTTTATGATTTACCATGTCTATAACAGCGTTTTTATTCTGACGTGAGTCTGCTGAAACAAAACTTATAGTGTTATCTCCCATTTTAAGTTTTAGTTCTAATATTTTAAAATGCCGCTTTTTAATCAAAAAATTTGAATTGCGGATTTACCTCTTTATTAACTATTATTTTTAGCATTTCGTCGCCGATGATTATAATATGGTAACATGTTTTTCACATTGAACTCATAATTCCCCACGAGAACGAAAAAGCAATTATCGTCGTCATTGTGGAACAATACAAAAATTTTTTCCTTGAAATCCTGAAATTATATTAGAATCAAGAAGCGAAAATAGGTTTATTAAAACCCAGAATTACTAAGAATTACTACTTTCCAAATTACTAAGGAAAGGAAATGCGAGGTGCTAGGACGAACGATTTGAAAGGTGAATGAATAGATGAAGTTGTCATATCGCGGGAGAATTTCACGTAATCAGCAAATTTATATTTATATCAGCATTTTAAATTTTCACTAAACTGAAAATACACTTTGTACAGCCAATATAATTAAGAAACGTAGAAAAGGAATTTCACTGTTAGGGACAGAAATTGAATATTTATTTCCCAAGCGCGAATTGAAACAGTTCTCTTGCATCAAATTCTTATTTTCCTTCCTACTTCACGACCCTCTTGTTTACTTTATTATTCAAAAGAGCTCTCGTTTACGACAAGGGAATGCAATGCAGTGCAGTCTTATGTGGTGAATATTATGTTCATATGATTTCAAGGTAACATTTCTTATTTGATAGAATTCCCGGAGTGACATCCCAGCGAATATCCCAAACATTGACTATATATTCGTCATGATTCGTCGTCAAAATCCGACAGCGGACAGAATACTTGGCAATAAGAAAACCAGAAAGTTATGCGACAAATATTAAAACATGAATTAATGAACGAGTGCAGTCGGTCGGAACGTTAGTGATTTAATCTGCACTGTAGCAGTCGCGGTGCACACGCGGTCGGAGTACGTTTAGACACCTCTGCCAACAAGAGGAGAAAACGGGAGTTGCTGTGTTACTTGTGTTGGCATATATGCCTGTTGCATATCTCACAGCACATGTGCCTGTTGCGTTTTCTCACAGCGAGACAATGAATGCAGAAGCTTATTAATGAAAAAAAGGTAAATGTTCAATAAAATTAGCAGGGATCGCACTAGCGGATTATCAGAGTGTCAGAGTTTATCCATGTTTCGGCTATTTTCGGTTGTTCAAAATTGAAACCGATCGTAGTTTTGTGTTTAAACGGTCATTGACGTATTAAGGAAGAACCATTTTGAAAGGGATGTAATTTGTTTTTGTGTAATTAGAACGTAATTTGTAATCTCAAGTTCAAACTGAAAAAAACGGCTCTTGGTAATTAAAATAAAGTCGTTTTCTCTCTAGTCGTTTTTTTTTGCATTCTCGCAAGCTCGAGTTGAGACGCGTGCGCCGAAATTGATTGATGTCCTGATAAGAAGAAATAACTGTTTGCATTGATATTTCGATTTCAGACGACTGAGTCACATCAACAGAAGTCTTGCAGTGTATATTAATTGCTTTATATTTTGTATCCGATAAATAATATGGTTTAAAACAACTTTTTAAGGGCTTGGTGCTTGCAGATAATAATAACCCACTACCAGTAAGATTCAAAATTCTAAGAACCGGTTCTATTTTAGGATCTCCCATACAAAAGACCCCGACCAAAAAACACCCGTCAACGCTCAGGCCAAAATACGAAAATCGGTACATATCTAGTTAGGGATAGGAATGCAGATTGCGTCAAGGGTTGCTTAATTGTGTTAATTGTGTTAAAGTCAAAAGGAAACAATCCCGCTTGGAATTATCATTGAAGAAAAATATAAATACAGCATGGACCAAAATGAAGTTAACAATTGTTAATAAATAATTAATTAAATAACTGTATCCGACATTAACCCGCGCTTTATAATAAACTGCTTCGGGTTTAGCTATTTTCGCAAAGTATCGAATTCGGATTTCGTTTTCTCACTTCACGTTTTAGTTCTCCTGTTAACTTTAATATTCAAAATAACTTTCGCTTACTGCGAGAGGGTGCAAAGTGGTATAGGCTTTCGTGAATATTTATGTTTTGTTTTTGAATTCAAGCTACCATTTGTTATTGTATATTATTCACTAATTTCTTTTGATAAAATTTTGTTCAATATGACTGCGAAAAAGGGAATACTGGAACGCCTCGCCGAAGGTCCAGTCATTGGCGATGGTAGTATGATTTTTACTTTGGAAAGGCGAGGCTATGTAAAAGCTGGACCGTGGACGCCAGAAGCTACAGTGGAATATCCCGATGCTGTTCTTCAGCTTCATCGTGAATTTGTAAGAGCAGGAGCAGATGTTGTACAAACATGTACTTTCTATGCCAGTGATGGAAAACTCACTTTTGCAAAAGATAAAAATGAGATCACGCACACGGTAATAACATTGACTCATAAAATTTTGATGTTGGCACTATTTTATCCACTGGTTCTCAAACTACCTAAGAATGAGCTACGAATAACAGATAGTAAAGCGAAAGTATGTTTTATTTATAGAAAATGTTGAAAATACGTGGATGGAATATCATACGTAAATATCCCGAATAGAGAAATGTTAATATCCAAAACAATGTGAGAAAGATCAAATCTTTTTATTTCTAATTAGCTTCACGTCCTCTCAAAAAAATTCCACTCCCCCAAGACCGCCCCACCGTTTGAGAACCTATAATTTAATAGTTCAGAAGTGACATCATTCTTTGATTTGTCCATTATCTCATTTAGAGTGTTGAACTGAATGATGCGGCTTGCAAACTAGCGAGGAAAGCCGCAGATGAGAATGGCTGTCTTGTATGTGGTGGAATATCTCCAGTGCCTGCCTTTGCTCAGAAGAAAGATGAATCAATCGTCTGCAGAGAATTTAGCAAGCAGATAGAAGTCTACAGAAAACACGATGTAGATTTTGTTATGTGCGAAGTAAGACCGCGTGAAATATTTTTGTGTATTAGGGTTGCAATGGCGGGATTCAAAACTTTAAGAGTACTGTTTTGATTATCTCACCAGCAACGGGTTCTCTCAGAAAATGTATGTATGTATGTCACCATACGTAAGGTATATAAACATGAGACGCTTTACATAAATCTCATACACAACATTCGAAAAGTCTAATAGAACGCTAACTGTCAGCTGTGGTGAACGTTATACTCCTTTTCTGATGACGTCTAACGTCTAAGACGGTTAAAAATCAAGAACGGGTACGCTGATAATTAGGACATTGCAAAATCGAGTTCGCACAAACTCCTGAATACCGCCATTACCTACAGATGAATCCCAACACAGTATTTGGAATATTTTGACCCTTTCGCAATAAACTATGATGAAGGTACGCTAAGGTTGTGTATAACTATCAACAATTTACTTTTCATTACTGTCTCACGTTCTAGTTTATGTATACCAGTATCGATAGGTTGCAAATAATTTTGATACAGAATTTCCCTATATTCAGTTTTTCAACGACATTTGTGAAGTTGAAATATGTGCCAGTGAAATGAAGAAATTAAAGAAGCCGTTCGCGTTATCAATGAGATTAGGTGTGATGGGTGATGTTAACGGAGTATCAGTTGAAGAATGTGCGATAAGAATGGCAAAAACAGGAGCAGATATAATAGGTTAGAAGTTTAGGTTTAAGAACTGAGTGAATAAAGTTCAGACATTAATATAGTTTTTAAATGTTTCATTCCAGGAAACAATTGCGCTTATGATGTTAATACCAGTCTGAAGGTGATAAAACGAGTGAAAGAAGCATTAGAGAAAGAAGACTTACATCCATATTTGTTGTGCCAGCCATTGGGAATGCATTGTCCAGAAACGGAAAAAAGTCCAATGGGATATATCTCTCTACCCGAGTTTCCTTTTGGTATTTTGAGTATAGAATATCTGAAATTTATACGGATTCAATAATTTCGCCGGCATAACTTGAATGTTTTTAGTATCGGCAACAGATCCGGAATACTGGATAACAGCATGAAATTGTTTAATTCACTTTTTAATTGTCACTCACTACACTGTGGAATATTTATTGATTGTAATTCAAACTTAGCTTCCCTATTGTTCTGGCACTGTCCCAAACTTGTTTATTTTTCTCTATCGTAAACAAACCCAACATTTGATATATACCATCTGATTACTGCCAAATCCAAATGAAAATTTTGTTAAGAATGCCCGATTTCTGTTACAGCTTTAGATCCTCGTGTTATGACTAGAATAGAGGTTCATGAGTTTGCCAGGGAAGCGTGGAAACACGGAGTCAGATATATTGGTGGTTGCTGTGGATTCGAACCTCATCTTATAGCAGCAATATCACAAGAGGTAAGTTAAATCATAAGTATGTCCAAAGTGCTGAGTATAATTTCCCGCAAAATGAAATTTTGCGGGAAAATGATTTATTTTCACGTCCATCAAAACTATGCGCACAAGTTTGTTTGCACATGTAGTAAGGCAGTGATTTTATTTGTATCGAACTCACTAATACCTGGTTCCCTCATTTCAGAAAATAGTTTTCACTGCGTGAGCAATATTAACATGACGTTCTATATAAAAAGCTAATGCGTAACACCCGAAACACTTTGCCGCCGCCTGCGGTACGCTTTACTCTTTTGCTGCGGTTGCCCAAGTAAAAGATAAAAACAAGAACAGTTTCGTGGGAACCCGTGGGAATCTGAAAAATACCAACCACCACTGCATATAACACCTTTTATTTGTCTTATCACAGTTGGCTCCAGAACGAGGAGGAAAACAAGCACCCGGAAGTGATATGATGCAAGCGTTTGGTGGGGAATTTTTTAAGAAGAGTGCAGTTTCAAATATTGCTTCCGGAAAACAGTAAGATACAACTAGTTCACTGCATGAATTATATTAACGCTCTTAAGTATTTATATAAAGCACGTATCACGCAGCACTTGAGAGTTTTGCTACAGAAAAAAAAATGATTAGAGTCCTGTAATATTATCTTTAAAAAATGCAAAGACGGTAAATTTTGATATGTTTTTTTATTAGTGTCTATCGGAGCTGTTCCGGAAAACTCATGATAAAGCAGATTTAATCTCCTTCGGCAGTTACGTCACTGAAAATAATATTCTTAGCACAATATTGGCATTGCTAAGTAATTAAAAGGTGGAATACTGCAAACAATGCAGTCGCCGTTTTGGAACCTGGCTTATGTCTGAGTATTTGTGCAACTTTGCAAAACAATATTCGCCGTAATACGGAGTAAATTTTAAGTAAATCTAAGCAAACAAAGATATCTTCTGCCCACACAAACAAGCGAAAAAAGAAATGATAAGGAGTCGGATCAATATAATCTGTAAAATAAGATTCATAACTCATTCATAAAGAGGTTATGCATAAAAAAGTCGCGGTGGCAGAATTCGTTTTTTATAATACAGTGGAACAACCAATCAATCTTGAGTAAAACTGCACACCGGCAAACCACAAACATATGTATAAGAAATACACTACATATACTTGTTGTTATTGAAATCTGTATGTTGCAATAGCCTTGACAGATTATAATCGTAGTTAGTGTAAGTTGTATTTTAGGTTGACAGTTGCCACAACCAAACAAAAACCAATTTTTTATGTTTCAACTAAAAAAATAGCTCAAGGAAGTTGTTGAGATTGCGATTAAATTTAGTTCTGGCACGAGGCTTATTGTTTTTCAATTTTGCTTTTGTAACATTATAAACTAAATTCTGTTCCTAAAGTGTAACTTTTTATGTCACACTTACATGGCCCGCCAGTCTAGGTGGACAAATTGTAGGGCCCAGGTCGAAACACCTTGCCCACCTCTGGTTTATAAGATATAATCCATTTTTTCTACATAATTCCTCTTGCAACTCAATCTAGAAATTTGGAAGCCACAAAAACTCCGTGAGCCATTGAGCAGTTCAGTTTGATAGTGGGTTAATATGATAAGACTGATTTAACATTGTAGTGAGAAGTGCACTGCTGTATCAAAGAATTTAATTTAATCTATGAAATAATGAAATATTGCTACACGTGTCGACTGTCTAGAATGAATAATTGGTATTGAATCTTCTCTCTTGAACTCGGCGAACCTCAAACTTCCAAGGCGGTGTGGCGCATCAGGCTAAGAGTTAGGAATACGCTCGCCACTCGCGAGAGGATTGCTTGACTTGAGTGGCTGGGTGGTTCACGTAACCTGTTGGTTAAGCCTTCCTCCACCATCAAGTCCTTGCTTTCAAAAACAATTAACTGGCTAACTAATCCCATACCCGACATGGACTGTTAACCGGGGCCGTATGAATAAGCCGTCTTATCGGATTTTCTCTACCCTGGGATAAGTATGCAGGCTAAATACTATCCTATTTTATGACAATCGATTCAACACAAATCCGCCATCATAACATACATTTATTTCACGTTTCAGGTCGTCAAGGGAATATTGGTGTGGACTGAAAGCTGGTACTGGCAGACCTTACAACCCACCCCTTTCACAAATATTGGATAATAACTTTCAGTACGATAAGGATAATTGAACAGAAAGCTCAAATATGCTTGGCTATTGGTTTATGTATGATTGTATTTTTTGTACAATATGATTTAACAGAAATGGACAATAATGGTTAAGAGTGAGAGCTTCAAATATGAACGTAGAATGTGTGATATTCAATTGAGTTAATTATGGATAGCATGCGCATTATAAAATAAAGCATCGCGTTTTAACTTGTTTGTGTAAAGATTATATAGGCTGTAATATATAGGTTGTAGGCATATTATGCTGCCGTCCATAACAAATGAATTGACGTCAACCAGTGCTGGGATTAAAGAGGTTCTCATGGATTCATGTGCACCCATTCTTGGAATGTTATGTGACCATACCAGCAAACCCTTCATGAGCTGGCGATCAGTGTAATAATTGTCGTTTCGATTACATTTTAATGTTGTTTACATAGTGACATACATTGGTAATATGACATACAGTTTAGAAGCCAAAAATTAGTCAAGGTTTTCTGTAAATAAGAGTACCTGTTGTTAGTGAATTCTACGCCCGTTCTAAAAATTTTGAATTCCACCACTGATGTCAGCCACAGATAAATGGTGATCACAGGTGTTTACAATTTGAATACGGAATTAGGCACACCCAGTTTGCACCTTCACCATAACATGATGACGAATCGCTAATATTTCCTTTTATCGCTTAGCTGTAATTTTTTTGTCTGGTCGTTCAATAATGATTTGTAATTCGCCATGATTATCATCATTCCAAAAGTAATAGCAGTACCTAGTGAGAATCCGAATATGAGATATATCTGAAAAAACATGTATAGATGTTAGTTTCAAAAACTGCACCCCTTTAAGGCCTTTTAGGATATTGTTTTCAAGTATTTGCTGAATTTCTAATTCGCAACAATATTTAGAATGTTATTGTCAATCTTGCTACAGCATCCTTGTATTAGATCAGTGCTATTCAACAGGGGTTTCGCGGAACCCTAGAGTTCCGGAATACATGCGGTGGGATTCCGTGAGTTTATAGGGTTCCTTGGGGGTTCCTTTTTTTCCAGGGAAAATCATTTCTTGCTTCAGAATGTTGATGTGTTATTGCAAATATTATTCTCAGACCACCGTGTCTCATTCAAACCTCAAGTAGGCCACTTTGTTAAACAGGAGGTTTAGGCACAGTGCAGTTAATAGACAAAACAGAAATATTTTCGGTAGTCATTGTTATGCGACTAACAAAAACGCTATTTTCGAGACTAGAGAGAGTAAGTACTACAAACTATAGTTGTTGTTCAGCTTTTGTTAGAATATGGTAAAAATAGTGTGAAACCCAACTTCTTAATATTTAGTCAATACAGATGAAGCAAAATAGTATATTTTCTTATGTGAGGCGAAATAATAACAACGGTGAAGGTCAGGGCGGCAATGAGCAAGATAGTTCAAATGCGAAAGAGGCACCTGTTCCTCTTTCGAAGCGAACCAAATGTAATTCAATTGCCAAAGTTAGAAAATGGGATGAAACATATTTGAAATACGGCTTTTTTTGCCCGAAGACTATATCATACTTTAAACATATGAAAAGCGGCGCATGCCAGCAAAAAGATTCTTTCTTAAGAGCCGTGAATACTATTCAGGATTTGTTAGTGACTTCATATTGACTTATGAACAAATATCTACCTATTTATGTGAATCAGCATTTTCTGCTTTAACAACTATTAAGAAAAACAATAAGTTGTTCAAAGAGTGTAGACATGAGTATGAGAATTGCATTGAGCGTCGTGGAGCCACGATTCAAGAAGATTGCAAATAAAATGCAAGAACACCTAGTCATTGAATTTCACGCTTGGAACCTTCTTGCTGTTTCGTTGTTGAAGTAGAAATATTTGAATTACAAATATTTTGTGTTACGAGTATTTCGTGTTTTTTTTTTAAATTTTGTCAATTGGGGTTTCATAAAAAACGAAAAATTATATGAGGGGTTCCACAAAAACAAAAAGGTTGAAGAGCACTGTATTAGATACATACGGATCCAGCGGCACACAAGGATAGAAGAAAGATATGTAGTTAGTACTGCAGAAACCAATAGCGCAATCTATATATTTGTTGGCATCAACATCACTATTGCCAATGCATTGCTCGAATATAATACACGGTGTCAGAATTACAGACTAACTGTACTATACGAAAATAACTCGCAGGGTCAAATTGAATAAAATTAAATTTCATCATCGCACACAGAAAAGGCATTCGAGACACTGAAAATTCCGAAGATATTCAGATAGGCCATAACAATCTAAGCGGCCGCAGTAGGCCCCGCACTTTCATGTGCCGAAGTAATTTTATGTGTGAGGTATTCAATTCAACCGATTTAATTTATAATCATGTATAATTTTTAGAATGTACTCGAAAGACTTCTTAAGTTGCCTTAATCGTGATTTTTGTACTCGGGTAATAAAATGTAAAGACATTCATTTTCTACCACAAAATAAAAGCAGTGCAGAGTGAGGATTATGTAATTAATGATATACTTACGACACTGAATGCATTTAAATCAAGTATAAATCCACCCAGAGGCACCATGATCATCTTTTCAAGCAGACTTCCCACACTGGGTACGAACATATATGTTCCAGATATGTTTGTGTTCTCTGACACCCACGAAACGCCTGTATCGTATATATAATTATATCAGCGATTCAAGAGTCTTGCTTCAAACTATGTAACATGAATCTTGAATTACTTAGGATAGTTATCGTCACTCTTGCTACAGCATCCTTGCAATATATGCCTACGGATTCACGGGCACAAAGGTATAGAAGAAAGATAACAAGTAGTTAGTCCCGCAGGAACCATTTGATATTAAATAGCATTTTGAAATTGCTCAGATAGAATCTAGATGATGGTTTATATCTTACCAGCTGGATATAAAATTGATACAGTGTATCCGTGAAGTGCAGAAATCACCCAAGGTATCCATGGTACCCGCTCTCCGAAAACACTCAAAATTGTCTGTTTGAAAAGTGTTAAAATTTGGTTTGAATTATAGAAAATGATATCAGAAACGACATGTAAGAACGCTATGATTGCATATATGCTACGATAAGCATTTACTGGGCAGATGATACATAACAAAATTCTCGTGGGATTGTTTGCTAATGGCACCTAATAAGTTAGATATCTGTAATTTTATCACTAAATTTATATCTTGGACGTATTTGATTACTCAAGTAATTTAAAAGATTATTTTAAGAGACATTCATCGTATTTCAGATTTTCCCTATTGAAGGAATGTTTGTGGATGCATTTTTTGTGGAGTTCACATAGTAAACTTTTCCGATTGGAAACTGTACATGAAAGTTTTAATATTTTCAGTGACTCACAGCTGTACATACTACAATTATCTTCAGTAAACATTTGTTGCATATACGCAGTGGAGGGATTCATGGGGTCTGCACGAGTTTCCCCGAATCCTTGGAATGTGATAGTAATCAGTGCCCACGTTCTTGTTTTTTTAGACTGGTAACCTGCACCGCAGATGACAACTAATGATGTATTTAGCGTTTCAAAGGTTATGTATTAAATTTATGTAAAGCGTCTTGCATAGTGACATACATTAGTTAAAACATCACGTATAAGTTGTCCTTATCTGATTATCATATAATCTTATACGTTCTTGTATTGTTTTAGAGCTATAAGTTCAGCATGAATAAGGACACCTTTTGTTAGTAAGTTCTATTCAGAAAAGAAGCTATTTTTCATTGAAAGCTATTTTTTATTAAAATTGCGAATCCTCCCACTGCATATACGATAAATTTGATAGATGCTTGCGTTGGAAACAAAATGAATCAATTCGGTCACTCAACTGTACATCGCGCAGCATTATATATACGATTACCAAACTAGGTTATTGAAGGTGTAGTTCTAGTTCTGACAGATCGGATCTAGCTTTTTGCAATGTTCAACTTACCATAGAAAATATACTTCCAGCGATACCAAACTTAATAATAGTTTTGGCTGAGATATAATTTGACGCTATCACTCCACTTAGACGACCACATCCATGACAAAACCAAAATAAAGAATTAATTTGAGATGCTGAAGTAATCTGAAATTTTGAAAGTATTGAAGGAAAAATGTTAGTTCAAAAGTTTGTTTTTTGTCAAACGCTTGAATGAGGCAATGTTCCAACAAAAATAATTCTCAACTGAGTCAAATATGGCACTTATCTTATATATTGTGGCGATAAATATCATATTAATTAGCTATGTCTAAATCCTAATTTTCATTGCCCTAATTAGCGTATTGAGGCCAAATTTTTGAACTGACGAATAACTACAAACCCTCCCAACAGCAAAGCCATCGGACTAACTAAAGCGGATTTTATTTGTGTGTAAATGATAACTCGAGCTGGACACTTCAAATCGAATATCCGAATCGAATGGTCAATTGTTCGCATCAATTTTGTTATTTTTTCGCCATAGGTCAAAGCTGAATTTTCACTTCCTCGTCAAAATTTTTTAAAATGCCATTCTGACGTATGACTCTTTTCTTCCTAGTGAGTATTCGATGAAACTTGATTCTTGTTGTATGTGACAACTCAGCGAACTGACTGTGTGATGGATTCTATTTTCAGTAATTTATGCGCCTAGAGGACCCATTACAATAAAATAGTCACATACAATTCGATTCGATTCGATTCGAAATCAGATCGGAAATCACCGGGTATTTGAAAATGACCAGCCCGAATGATAACATGAACCTCAATTACATCAAACCAAACAATATAATACGAATAAAAAATAAACAACGTAAAGTTTCTACTTGTACTCACAGAAAACCCAAGGTTAGAGCAAAGTGTGACGGCATATATGTAGGTAGAAAAAAGGCCAGAAGCCGAAACAACACAGAGGAAATATCCGACCACAATTATAAAGAACGATACCAAAGTCAGCGAAGGTTTTTCTTCTTTTTCCACTGGGAAATATTCATCATACGATGAAAATTCGGAAATACGACCTGAAAAGTACAAAATAAAGATCAATTTTTACTCATGTTCTACTGATGAAAAAAATGCCGGTATAGCATACAACAAAATATTATTATTAATAACGGTCATAAGACGTTTACAACAGAATTTATCAAACTATGGTATATTTATATGAAAAGAGTAATGAAAAAGTATCGATACGAAACTGTTGGGAATTCTGGTAATTAAAACCAGGAAGTTTTGGAAGAAAATAGTAAAAATACAGGATTTATTGAAACAGTTTTATCCAAGAAACGGATTTCAGAAAATATTAGCCGTCAAATCATAAATCAAAGACAACATATATCTGGAAATACCTTCAACATCTGCCAAGGCGAGCACAAAAAATACGATTGAGACAAGAACGATAAAACAAGCTGTAACAATGAACGCCCATCCAGCTTGGTTGATTTCAATCTAAAATGATGCAAATGTGCACAATTAAGTGATCAATTTGAGCAAAAAAATTATTTTCCTAGTTTGTGTTGGTTCGTACATACAGTATCAATAGCACTTTTGTTAACACCGACGTCTTCCAACTGGAGTGTTGAATTGATTGCATTTGAAATTTTACCGGGGCAATAGTTATTTTCCGCATCGGCATCAGAGAGGGCGAGAAAGTAACCAGCTGCAAAAATAAACAATGTAAAATTAGAAGTATATAATTTTGAGCACAATTATACTAATGTAAATTGAGGTTTTTGCGTCAAAAATAAAATATTCCAGGCTCCGTTACCCTCTGAAAACGCCATTTACTGTTTTGTTACAAAGTCTGAACTTCAATGAAAATCAAGTCGAACCGTTATTTAACCACAGGTCATTCCACTCACATCCATAATATCGGAAATACGTTCATCCCTCCTATTTTTCTAAAACATACATGTTGAAAATTTTATCTCGAACTAGACCAGTGGATTTTGATCGGGTTCCGCGGCTCCCTAGGGTTCCGTTACTCCAACCTACAGGTTTCACAATTCTCCATTCAAATCCAAGATTTATATAAATATATATGTACAGTATATATATAAAATTAGAATGAATCAAGCAATACAAGTGTGACGCAAACAGCAGAAGTGTGAGATTATTATGGCAAGTATAGGGCAAACAGGACAAGTATTGTGCAAGCAAGACAAGTATATTGTCGAATAAATACCTGTTTGCCACTATTATAAACTTGCTACACTTTGGAGATCATTTTATTTTATCAGTATCAAGTTTGCTCTTATGTATATTTATAGTTTATAGAATTCAGATAATAGAAGGATATTAAAGATTTGCACAGTGGTTCCTCGAGCCTCGGAGGTGTTTCATTAGGGTTATGTTCCACCATAAAGGTTGGAAATCACTGCAATACGAAAAAGCTAAAATATTGGGTACTCCCGTAGTATGTGTACCAAGTTAGGGTTAGATCATAATTTTATTCCGATTTTCCTTACTTTATTTCTATTACGAGTTCGGGGACTGTCTGTGTTAGCCAAGTGAATATACCCCCTGCCCATAGGCTTCCGTCCCTTTACACAACTCGATTTGAAGTAGGCGAACAAAATTAATTATCTCCATATTGGTACACACACTTCTGGAGTGCCAAATGTTGAATAATAGAATACAATGAAGTGTTACCTATTAATGGCGTAGCAAATGATCCAAAGCTGTGCATCATGTGGAAAAGATGAATAAATGGCGCTGATGATTTACTTTCCCATGTTTGAAGAATAAATGCTTGCATCGCTAAAATAAGAGGTAGGTGACAAGTTTCCTAATAATATTATTGATGTAACTGGTTTTGGACAGCACTGACAGTAATACTGCCAAATCCGTTTTCATCTCATTCCGTAACTCTTGAAATTCCGATAACTATTGTCGTCGAAATTGATCGCATAAAACGTCATAAAAATTCAATCAAAAATATATGTCCGACTCTGATTCCTGTTGGAGTAATCACTGCAGATATAATCTATATACGCAGTGATTGGATTCATCCCGTTCTTGGGATGTCGAACCCGTTCTTGTGGATGTTCTTGTTTTTAGACGTTACTACTACAGCAACTTGGTAACGAGCGCCGCAGCTGAAGACTAACGTTATATTTGGCGTTTGGATAGCAAGTTATGTATTATATTTATGTAAAGCGTGTCATGTTGATGTAGCTTATGTGGTTACATACATTAATTCACCTACAATTATACAGTTATAAGTTCGCCTTGTTTTTTTTTTAAATGAGGGAATCTGTTGTTAATGAGTTCGTTACAAAATAGAAGCAGTTATCAAAAGTTTGAATCTTACTACTGTAAATACTATATACTCATGATGTCAATTGATCATGTAGTTCCATATGCAAGCCGAAACTCTTACTGCATATAACATGTTTTCTAAAGAATTGATTACCTTAACAATCATATAAACTTTAAAAGACAAATTATCATAGACTTATATTTTATCCGTCTTACCAGATTCGAGATATCCATAAAGAACTCCGTTTAGAATATAATTTCCCATAAGAATCCAGAAATTAGTCGTCCATGGGATAACTGCTTGAAGAATTCCAAAAATGAAGCAGCTAATACCTGTTTTTAAATGATGGTAACAAATCAGATAAAGACAATACTATAGAAAGGTTATAATACATGATGATTGTAATACACATTAAGTGAAACTAGGTTGATATGTCACTAACACTTAGATCATATCACGAAACTCGTTTGACAACTACAATTTAGGTATGCGAATCCGTTAATCGCTGCGATCAAATTTTAAAAGATAAAGTCACAAACGAGAATATCGGTCAGAGACCGACGACTTATCTAACGAAAGTTTGGGGATCCCCCAAAACTAACCCCCAATAATTCATCCAAATTTCAATAGGCTTCTGGTCCGACATACGATGAATGCACATGCAAAATCTGGAGCAGATTCAATCTCGCTTTCGTGAGATATCGCGTGCATCTAACATACGAACAGACAAATACCTATCAACATACTTACCGATTAAAATCGATGAGTAACAACCGAGGAAGTCTATTTCTAAATACACATGTGATAGCCAATAACATATTAATTGTATTAATATTAATTGTATATTAATAATTATTTGTTGATAAATTTTCTTACCAAACAACACTAAATGACGAAAGTTCGGGCCAACGAGATTCTTTATTATTCCACCCAGAACCGCACCGAATATACCTCCAACTGCCTTTCCCGTAGACAGCGTTGAAATTGTAGTTACAGAAACGTTAACTTGATCTGCGACGTAAAGCAACGTTGGGCCGAACAACGACCCAATTGCAGCCTGAAAACAGTATTCATCTTCTGATTTTGTTTGGGTCGATTTATAAAATTTCATATTGTCATTCCTGTCAAGGGGGTAACTTCATACGAAAGTCTGTGCAATCTTTTGCTTCGTAGAATTAATGAATTTCGAATACCTGAGGACCTGATGATAATTTACTAATTGATTTGAAATGACCATCCCCAGTCGTAAATAATTGCTTCATTTAATGTCCTAAGATGAGGAATAGATTTAGAAACTCACCAGTCCGATTCTCGCCAAAGATATTGCTATTATGAGAGAAATTGTCCATATATTCAGCGTGGCCATGCTTTTTATGGTAAGATTGAGAGCCTTATATAAAATATGCGAATATCATATAGCAGAAATAAATTATAATTTTTGATATTCGATTCTCACTCAATAATCATCTCAGCTCATATAATGCCTGAGCACAGAACTTATATTCATATATTAACTTATGAAAACTCATGTTACATCAAGAATAAAATGATGTCTATAAGCGGATGTTAGTGACACTTATTTGATTAATTAAGTGAATTAGTTTCCATAAGTCTGAGACAACTAATGGGCCAGGAAATCGTTATACTATATTAGGCCCGGTTATGCAATTTAATTCTAGTGAAATGCGCTGTGCTGCAAAGCTTATCATACATTCGAACAAAACAATTCGAAAGAATTTATTTTCTTAGCCCTAAACGCATTACGATATAAAACTATTGCTGCCAAAACAGCACCGACTTTAAATTATTATTCATATTGACAGATAATAAGAGTCATCGCATTAATTTGCTTGTAACCATATAATAACGGAGTAACTATGAAATATAATTTATAAGTCCTAAAAAAGGGCTTGCAGTGACATTATCAGTAGACTTGAACAAATGAAAATTTTGAGAGAGTACATAAAACTATCAGACTTCACTAAGTTCCAAAAGTAATTATCGAATTTCAGTGCTTCAGAACCTAGATAAATATATATATATACTTGTCATTGCATAACACGAAAACCCAATTCTCTAACCAGATAAGTTTAAAAGACGCTTCTCTATAAAGAATTGTATCAGCTTAAAAGTATGTCACGAAATTCTTATGGTTATCATCGATCAATTACGTGAATTCATATTCTGCGGAAGTCAGTGTTTGCTATTGACCAGTTACCTCATTTCTTCTGTAACCAATTCGATTGTAGCATACTCTCAGCACCACAATTATTAAGTGTGGAACAAAATGCATCTCTGTTGGCTGTTTGAACAATGTTTCCTTATTCAAGAGCTTAATGTTTTTAAACGGATGACATAATAACTGATGATCGAGTTGGTTTTGTAATCAATTCTCTCAATTTGCTTATGTTTTTGCAATCAATAATTAAAATACAATTTCTTATTATAGAAAAATAAAACACTTGAATGTTTCAATTCGCATCATCCAAATCTATAACAACTTGCTGCAATCCCACGTGCAGTCTATTTATTGGTACTCCATTTTGTAAGGCAAGTTCTGACCTTGACTGCACTTTGTTGTCTTTTTGTGATTATCTCCTTCTCGCATGTTTATTATTTCGATTTTCTGCTGTTTTTTTTTGTCTGAAATAAGCCACACAAATGTGATGTACTGCTATTTGCCATCCACTATAATCGAAGTTCTCACCTACATGCCCACAGTCCTTTTTTAATTGAAATACATGATCTTTGATTATCACTTTATTTGAATCAACAATTCATATCTCTTTAGCTAGAACTTTGCTTCATGCGAAGTTATATATACATATTCACAGAAGAGGTACCCACCACATCAATTAAATTATTAATAAGACGCTTGTTCTGAGATCGTTACTTTTCATCAACAGTCGCTTCAAGAAAATTATGAACATTGTATTCACATGACCAGAAGAGTTTTGTTACAGTAAAATGTGATATTTACCTCGAGGGTGAAAAATCACAAAATGTGCCATATTAGTCCGGCAGATAAGGGGACCTTTTTGGCCCAAGTTTGATTTCAGACATAAAGTTTTTTTTATTTGTGATTATTCATCTTGGGGTCATTGCCCATCATTTATACATGGGTGTGGAGTTTGCAGCCTTGAGCAATCTTTTTACGGCTCGATATTTGTATTAGTGTTTTTCGTCAAACTGTGCATCATAATGATGCACAACCTGAACCATAACCTGTTACTATACTATGTTCAGGTTGTGCGCAATCTTGGTGCACAAACTACGCAAGCACCTAATTTACTAGGAAATAAAATCAATAACTTTTAGGTATTTATTGAGATATTTGTATTAGTGTTTTTCGTCCAACATGTGCATCATGATGACACACTACCTGAACTATAACCTGTTACAATACTATGTTCAGGTTGTGCGCAATCTTGGTGCACAAACTACGCAAGCCCCAAATTTACTAGGAAATAAAATCAATGACTTTTAGGTATTTGTTGAGCCCAGCTTTGGGTCGCGATCCATATACAGTATATGGAAATACTGTCGAAACATACGCGTAAAATAAAGAGTACTATTTCAAAATACCTGTTTTTGTTGCAATTAACAATACAAGCCTGTTAATGCAGTCGCCAGTGGTTCAAGTGGATATACACCCGGTGGAGAACAGTCAATTATTTGTTAGCGAGAATTGTTATGCAGCGGGATGATCACGACGATGCAGTGAAAGATAATGATATCACGAGAACAAGAATGAGAAAATTGCTACATTTTATAGTATATATATCCCTGGAAAAGAATGTAGTTCATTCTTATGTTCCATGCCAATGCTTTTCATCAAACTACCAAAGAGTCTCAACACTTTTGCTTCTTCTCTTCTATAGAGATACATTGTTATTATATATTCGCATTTCCATCTGTTTGTTCGTGCTCCCAGATAACCGATCAGCGGCCTCCAAGGAGGACGGGGTCCCCTTTTAAGAAACCCTGTCATAAACTAAAAGAGGCGACCGTGCTTCTCTTGCGTGTTGTCATGCTGTCCCTGGAATTCAGCTACAACAAAAATTTCATGAAAACGAATTTTTAAATTTTATGATTTTATTAATATTCTCAACAATGAATGATATACGGGTGGTAAAATGCCAAGTTATTTCAACAACATGATCATGTTTTGCAATTGACAACCAATATTATGTATGTAACTTTGTTTGACAGAGCCCCAAGAGCTCTAACTACAAATATCAAATATGTGAGGCCAAAAAAGACACACTACAACATTGTCACATGTGCTGTATTTACGATAGACAACAGGTTTACCAAAAAGAATTACATGAAAAATGGTAAAATACAGATCAATTCAGCAATATCTACTTGGTGATATGCATCTGTTGCTGATTTTATGTGTTTGTTTCGGAAGTTTAATAACAGAATTAATTGTGGTTGTTGGGGATGTTTTAACTCTTTGAACTCTGAATCCCCAGAACGATGCTACTCTCTCACCCTGACCTCCCACGGCGTCGCATCGATTCGACGCGTTAAAAAATTGTAATATCCCTAATTTTAAATCAAAATAACTTCTAAACCATTAGATATCAGATGGTCTGTAATATATCATATAAAAGCTTATCTAGTCTTTTATTTTTAACTGGCATTATTTTTCACGAGATGTTTTGATGAGATGTGTAAGCCTATTTGTAGCCCCATCTACTATTTTTTTTGTATTTTGGTAATATTAAATACATTTCTTAGGAATGTATCATCAATATAAGTACAATTTTGAAAAGTATACAAAATTACCTTTCGGAGAATACACGTATGACTTTCTTAACATACGCATAACTCATTTTATTGCAGAATTTGTACTATCGATTCAAATGGTTTGCGAACAAAATTTATCAACTATTTGACGCCAAGTTTGCGTAAGGGAAGGGCGACGACGACATTGTCGTGATAACGTTCATGCGACGTATCGTGCGTAACTCTTTGCGTGAGGTATATTGCGCAATTGAACATCTGGTCGTTCACAGCTTGAGTGCAGATTGTGGCTTCATTGCATTAGTATCATATCCTCGGCCGCAGATAAAACCCTTTCAGACGAATTTTGATCGAACATAGTAAAATTGCTAGAATATAAAGGCCATTTTATATACGTTTACTATTTGGATATGGGACGAAAACTGAATGGCCAAAACGAAATATTTGATCCTCATGAATTTATGAGGTTCCGCCGGAAACATCAAGGCTAATTATTCACCGTTGGATATCATGAAGATTGAATAAAAAAAACTGATAACGGGTACACGGAAGACATGGTGGCACCAGTAGCTCACCTGGTCAGTGTTTTACATTTTGCAGCCTCAATAGATTTTCGAAATTACTGCATATACGCTACATTCCTGATATTGCTATATTTTCAATGTATTTTAAACGAAAGCTTTGTCCAGATGAAATATTGGATAGTATTCATCTATCTGAAGAAGAAAATATGGCACAATAAAACTCAGCAATGGCGCTAAACAATGCATCCATCGATATGTTCCATCATTCTGTTTTTTAAAATCCTTATTTTGGCTATTCGTATTTTTCATATCTTTATGCAATTAAAACGGCAATAACACTGCGTATTGTGTGTTTTAGTCGAACCGATGTAATGCGTAAATTTCCCCGTGTATCGTTTACAAGTCGTAAGTCGCTTCACGAGTACGAACTTAGGTAAATGACGTTACGAGCGTGCGAGGAAAAGTGTTTCTCGTATGAAACGTAAACGTGCTACGTGCCAACGTAATTGCTTAACGTCGCTGCGTAACGGCGTAAATGTGTTAGGTCGTTATTTACGTCACCTTGACGTCGCCTCGATCTTGCGACAAACGAAATCACGAATAAAAATGCTTCTAAAATTTGAATGGTGCAACATAAGTTCAATCTAATGGTATCACTGGAAAGCTATCTTCAAATTCTACAAATTTTGTCGATAATGTACTAGGTTTAATCGAAAACAAATTTAAGTTTTGTCAATTAGATTTGAGCAATTTTCAGAAGTTTTTTATGCTTTTTAATTTCGCCAATTTTCATAAGATGATCACAATATTTTATCTCAATTTTAAAATTATACTTAGTCCTGTAGATTATCTTTCACACGATGTAAAACTTTGTCTAAATATAATAAATGGTTCGCGAGATATGAGGTTTCAAAGTTGCATACCTCTTACGGGATGCGAAAGCCGCTAAACCGGCTTTCAGCGTCAGAAGACTTTCTCGGGAAAGCCGGTTTAGCGGCTTTCAGGGTTCAAAGAGTTAAGAAAAGGTTGCATAGAAAAAAGTTTTCACAAAATGTCAAGGTTTGATAGTAGTAGAGAAGTAGAAAAAATACTCCCATGTTTTTTTTCATTCGATAACCTCGCCACAGAACTTCCCCGATAAGTATACGCAGCAATTGCGAGAGGCAGAAATGCCAAGATGGGATTTCATCGCATTGCAAACCAATATTAGCAATTCTTATATATATTCGCGCATTCCCATCTGAACAGCGTGGAAAAGATTATACCCATCTACACACTTTAGGTACTATGTCAGATGAGCATCCTATTATCGAATATTAGTAAAGGAATAGTGCAATGGGAAAAGACTTATAAGGCGGAACTTTCAGTAGTGTGCAATCAAATAATCTTATTGTAGAATATATATTTAAAAACATTTCGTCACACCAACTGCAGTCCCAAACTTTTTGTCGCTGGCTGAGCTTAGATACCAATTGGCACTCATGTAAACTGGTAAGACTGTAAGAGGCACGCGATGGAGTAAATACTAAGAGTATCCATCCTCCAGCTGTCATTTGAGTGGGTACTGCTGTTTTTATTGCAGCTGTTACTGATCATTTTGTATTATAATCACCGATTTAAGGATGATGGAAACCAACACGCAATATTACAAAACTTACTTTTAACACGCTGTTTGAATGAATGAAAAAGCTGGAACTAGTATTCTTTAGAACAGCATACAAATTCTATGGAATGAAATCATACACAAAAGCTCGTCAAAAACCTATAGCTCAATAAACAAGTGGAATTTGATGCATGTGCGCAAAAATGTGCGCGTTACTACGTGCAACCGAAGCACGCAGGAAAATGTGTGTGATGTACTAGTATTCAAAACGTTTGACTCGACTATGTTGACATAACAGGTGCACATCTCGGTTTCGCATATGCATACCTTCTATCTCCACAAGGATATATTAATTTTGCCAAAGTCAATGCAGCACTGAAAGGTTGCGGTTCTTCCAAAAGAAAACACGGTACACATCTTTAGATACCAGTGGATGGTTTTACATGGCCTTGTTCAGAGTGAAAGACAAGGTCAAATATTTCAATCCAATTCAACTAATAAAATATTTCCCAAGTCCCTAAGCTTAAACTATGAAAACGAAATGCGCGCGGCAACGCAAATGTAGTCTGAAGAGCGCAATAGAAAGTGGCTAGATGCTGTCGATGGATCTTGGCTTGTATTAGTGAAATAAACTACCATTTATTCTACTAAAATTGAATTTCTGACATTGTAAGGAGATTCAATGTTACTATGTATGCAAAACTAAACCATGTAGTTATTAAATAATTGTTTTTAACAAAAAGGCGCTCTTGAAGTATTCGTACCAAGATGGCGCACAGCCTGAACATTGTATGTTTACCAGGTTATGGTTCAGGATGTGCGTCATCTTGGACCGGATGCTTTGAATCCACTTGAAAAAAATTGCTCAACATTATACACCTGGATATCATTATATATGTCATATACATTATATCTAAACAATAAAAAAAACTTCATGTCCCAAAACAATGTTAAGACCCGATTCTGCACCAGTATGTATGAACGGTTTAAATTCGCATGCACAAAAACATGAAATATCGCATTAAATGCAGATCCCTGGTTAAAACGAACATGGTTTTTTAACCGTTGTTTAATTTACCTTGCACGCTAAGCATTTAGCGGTAGCAGTGAACGTTTCTAACGAAGGGCAATGATTAAATAGCAACTGACTTTATATATATACCTTGCGGTGTTGACCATATCTAATAATGTTTCCTATTTGCGCAAAAAGGCTAAAAAGGTAGTCGCTCGGAATTGGACGACAGCGATTGGGCAGCAATTCGGCTATATCTTAAACGGACTATGTAAATCGCGTTACTTTTTGTCATACCATTTCTAATTGAATATCGCTGCGAGTAGATATATAAATATATATATTCCACCGAATTTCGAGCAACTTACAAGCTCAGAGTGAAGATGCTGTTACCTTTGAAAACATGGACTAGGTGTGATGACCATTTGACAGAAAATGGTAAAAAGAAGCAATACGGTCGATACCGAATTTGCACAGAAAAAGCGAATTCATTTTTCCCATCCATGGTTAGTTGAATAAAATCTTTAGAACATTCCCCAGATGATTTTAATTCGTCCTGCGGTGACTAAAGGGTTCAGAAGTGAGGCTCTGACGCAAAAAGCAAGCAATCATCTTCGCGGAGCTCTACGAACTTTCGACGATATTTGAAGTAACCGGTCTGATCAAGCCATTTAATTATGTCAGTTCGACTCCGCGCTGTGTTTGTCTTGATAATGTGCAGACTATAAAAAAACACTTTTGCAATTTGAGGGTATCTCTGTCAATCTATTGTAGTCGATTGCTTATAGGTCCCCAAGGAGCGTTGAAAATCGGATTTAAAAAATTTATTCAAATTTTGTTTCCGTCTTTGGACTATGCGTTCAATTATATTTTCTCAATAGGGCACAATAACTAGACTTCAGTGCACTAAATAACGGCGAGACCGGCCCGCCAAGCCATGTGGTGTGGGCTTGTCAACACTCAGATTTTACCCTATCAAGTAAAAAATCCGACAGTGTATGTTCAAAAATTCGCTCACGTGGGAAAAAATACATATGTTTTTGCTCTTGTAGCTGCGTTAAATCTTTCGCCGTTTGCCCGGTGTCTTCATCACCGCAAGCTAACAATACATAATTCAGGTAATTTAAAATTTTAGAACATATTCTAGAAACAATAGCCGCATTTTCTTTCTTTCCCGCGTGGATAATTTAAAATAAATCCAGAAAGTAAGTTTCAGCTTGAATGCAAAAACAATAATATTGTTTATTGGGTGATACACCTGCTTTCGAGATTTACAAATATTCTTTCTCAGATTTACGATCACGATATGCAAATTAAATTTCATTTCAACCAAAAGCTTGGATATGGCGAGATGAAATATCAATTGACAAATGTTTTTTAATTGTCATTTTGGTGTCAAATGATATAAAAGGTCGGAGGAGATTAAGCCCTATATATTGTCCTGTATGTCAGTGTGAGCCCTCTCGCATCACGCCGACTTCACTTCGAGTGTTACCGAGTTAACATACTAACTATGGGAATGGATTATCACAATTCATGTGCAGACCAAACAACGAGCTCAACTTATCTGACTTTACATTTACGATTGAAACAAATTGCTTTCACCAGTGTGAGCCTCGTCTACTTCAGTTCGAAGTGTTATCATGATAAAATACAATGTATGTGCACACCAAACAACGTGTTAAATTTATCTGAATTTGCGTTTACATTTAGGAAACAACACGAGACAAAGCAAACACTACTAATAAAAGTTATAGCACATTTGCTTGCACTTTTAGTGTATATACAAAAACTAATGAGGAAATATGATACCTTCCCAATCTATATTCTTACTATGATGCGATACGCATTGAAAATTCTGGTGCAATGAGGTTGAACTCACCCGCATTTGAAAAAATTTAACGAATCATGACTAGGAACTTTGACACGGTATCGAAATCATCTCTTGCAATTCAAGCGGCGGGTCAATGAAAGCAATGAATAAAATCAAATGTGATGCCATAATAATAAAATATCATGCTGTAAAGAGCGCCAGACCTCAGACACGCCCTGAAACATACTAAAACTGCTGTTCTCAGCTCTTTATGATGGCCTATAAGCCTATATCATGAGTACAACTTTTACACAGTCAATTACGATGAACTCTTTTGGTTGTTTACTAATTTTACGAATATCGAAATTTTCTCGTGCAATTCAAGATATTTCAATTAGTCTATTGTCGATTGTTACATGGAACCCGTAAAGAGCTTTAAAAAAAATTGTATCGAGACTATATTTATTACAGTGTCTGCCGTTGAGGTTTATATTTACTCAAATCATCATAAGTCTGCGATGTGTAAACTTCGATGTAATGAACAACTATGCGATCGGAATAAACTTTACGATATTTTGCACCGTGTGACCAATAAATAAACATTGCGAGATGGGAACAAACTAGATGTGATGTGGCAGTATTGTTCATATTTGTTATTAACAAACTGCTAAGTCAGATAATCATCACAACGAATTCAAGCTCAAATAGTCAGGTGGCTATAAAAGGGCTCTAAAATTTTGCAAGAAAAAGCTTGCAATAGGGCTTTATTTGTTGAATATATATATAATATAGGTGAATTTATATAGTATATATCAATATTTTAATGCATAAGTGGAATTGTTTTCACAATGCTGCAGTGAAAATGATGTAAGACTGAGATTGTCGCATATTCAAGAAATTGCTTCGTTACAATATTACTCTTCTAGAATTCTAGGTAATCTTTTATATCGCTTGATATCGTACAATATGGTGATCGTACATTTGAACCCATGTGTATATCCGCGGGTTCAATCTATATGAGGGTGCTAAAGCCCATGGGTTAGGGTTAGTATGGGTTCAAATATCCGTAAAACAAAAAAAATTTCCATAGGTGCAATATTATGCAGGTTCAAATGTACGTGAATTTAAATGTAATGGAACCTACAATATACCTGCGATAGGGAGTATTCAACGAACTATGTGAACCAAATACTTCGATGTACTGATTTGACCTCATTTAATATTACGTGAAAAAACAAGCAGGTATGAAATTTGTTTATGAAGGTTTAGTAGTTGAAACACATCTTGGTAACATGATTCAGCTAATTGTAGAATGACATTTATTGTAAAATTACCACGTATTCTCTTTGTCTGGTGTGTTATCGTAAATTATATTAAAAGGTATGTCATAGTCTGTACAAACCAAATATTATGGTGAACTTACTTGAGTTTATTCCCCGGTAAAAGCATCTAAGATTTGAATGCAAATCTGTTCTAAAAAGTCACTTTCAATTTATAGAACCGGTTACTTGTAAGCTCGCTTATCCTAACGTTATACTAGGATTTGGTAAGTTGGAGCGAAGTGATCAAAGGTGATAAGAAGTTTCATCATCCTCAAACAAAGAATAATACAACAATTGAGAGCTGAAAACAGTCAAACAAATTTTCCTTCGTCATCATGACTAGTGAGGTTATATCATTCTTCAGTCACAATGCGCAATGAAGGAACTATATAATTGCAAATAAGAACTCTTGCTCATTGACAACATGTTTTGCAGAGACGTGCTTTGTGAGTTTTAATGTTGTCAGCTAAGTAGTTTCATGAGTATAAATCTCATTCGGTTTTTAAAAAATTAGCGATGAGAAACCAAGCATGAGTTTTGTGTAATACAACATAGAATTTTAATTTTAGGATCTGTCTATTCCGGGACATCATTTTTTTTAGACAGGGTGTTAAAAAGTAACGCAAAATTAACAGAAGTTAATATGAAATGCTACTTGAAACGTTTAGCGACTAAAATCTTTCAAAAGTATCAAATTACGATGAACTGCCACTTAAACATTTCACGACTGACGTTTCTTAACAGTTACTTTTTTAACCTTGCCATGACGAAAAATTTTATCTTAATTTTGCACAACTTTTTTAACACCCTGTATTTTTATTTATTTTCCTTTTATTCAGTAGAATGATAAAGAGTTGTCAATGGCTAATCTAGATCTAGGAGATTAATCAGACTTTGAAGCACTGCAGAATTGTTGTGCAATTTGATTTGTTCAGAAGCTTTATTGTTTGTTTAATCCCTGACAAGTGGAGGGTTCTTCTACACAAAGTGTACATATTGACCCTTAAGCTAAAGTACAATTGTTGCTCCTATAAAACGCTTTTCTCCACAACCGTTGGATGAATTTATTAGAAATGTTACGTACAGAAAATGGAAGTAGTCTCTAGATGACTGTTATTGTAAATTTTCAACTTTCGCGATATTTGATTCAGAATTTTCTTGTTTTACTTTTATTTACGGGAACACTTTTTATAATGTATGCCGCAGGGGTGGCCAACCTCCTTGAGATCGCAATCGACTAAAATCGTCAAAATAGCTCGCGATCGACTGATCGGTAATAAGGTCATGCACAAAAACAAATGAGTACACTGATTGCAGATAACTGCGCACTCGTATATAAAATATTCCGCCGCTGCCAATAAGCTCGGTTCTTTGACGGTGTATTATTAATGAAATCGCCATAATTTGCATGTTACATTTAATTGATTTTGTAACTGTACCCGGAGTAAATGCTTCATCATTTATTTACAATTCTGATTCAAGACTTGTCCAATTTTTAGTTGTGAGTGTTGAGAATTTCTCAAAGAATCTTGCAAATTATCCATGTATTATTCTGAACCGCAAAAAATGAATACCTCCAAACCATAAATGTCATATGACTGCTCATACTTCCCAATTACAATTTCGCGAGTCCGATTCTTCGCTCGCTTGAAATTAGAAAAAATTGGCTTTCTGATGCCACTACTACCGTTGCAAATAAAATTTATCACTACTCTTGGAGTGAGACAATTACTTTCGCATGGTGCAAAAGTTATTGTACGATCGTACCTCAGTCAAGGGCTCAAGGCACACGATATTCTGCAATTTTCATTTCTTAACATCGGCAGCGGCGAACCTTTCTATCGTTGCGTAATAATATGCTCTATCGGCCTCGCCGAGCTCTAGAACTATATGCGTATACAGTATTTTGCGCGTGCGCAGTACTGTATTATTTCTGTTTCAAAACACACAACAAGCGCTGCATGAAATTGGTCTAAGACATTTTGACGTATCTTATCAAATTTTCTCAACATCAAACGCGATCGACTACTCAAGACGTGGCGATCGACCAGTCGATAGAGATCGACGTGTTGGCCCTTAGGTATGTGAACGCGTAGGGCATCAAACGTAGCCCGTGTAAGGCTTTTAAATATTCCAGCATTGCTCTTTAGTTTTATTCGTAAAAAACATTGAATAAGTATTTTGGTATCATTTCAAATACATAAATTCTTTTACATAGAAAACCTGCAATATATACGCAATATGTCAGAAAAAAAGGGTATTTTGCAGCGACTAGCTGAAGGTCCAGTTGTCGGAGATGGAAGCATGTGTTTTATTCTCGAGAAACGAGGCTATGCCAAAGCAGGTCCATGGACCCCAGAAGCCGTTATTGAGTATCCCGAAGCAGTTCTTCAGTTGCACAAAGAATATGTGAGATCTGGAGCCGATGTTGTTCAGACTGCTTCATTTTATTCCAACGATGATAAATTAGCATACGGACGCAAGGGCGAAGAAGTAATTCATACAGTAAGTACACATATACACAGTTAATTGTTCTAAGCGATTCAAGAGTCTTGCTGCACATTAACAAAAATGTATATAAGTGAATTGGTTCGAAATGGGTATTTTAACTCTTGCTATAGCATGCTTGCATTATAGGCATACGGATCCACCAGTGCAATAGAAATAGAAAAGTATTAGTAGTTAGTCACGCAGAAACACACATCGATGGCACAGATAATCGTATTTGAACATAGGACCCCGACGCACGTTAAGTGTTTCGTAAACAAACCCATACGAACCAAATTTGACAAAACTTGTTGACACAGAAATCGAAAATTGATAGTCTTTTCTAGTAAAAGAATACTAGCACAGTTTGTTTTTTACAGAGTGCCGAGATTAATGATGCAGCTTGCAAATTGGCTAAAAAGGCTGCTGACGAAAACGGCTGTCTAGTTTGTGGTGGATTTTCTCCTGTTCCGTCATATAAAAAAAGCGGAGTAGAAGCGGCTAGAGTGGAATATCAAAAACAAGCTAAAGTTTATCAAGATCACGATGTTGATTTTGTTATGGCGGAGGTGAGAAGAATATATTGCGCTATAAATATACGATAAAAGAAGATTTAGATGTACTCCTGTAGTATGCGAACCATGATGTCAGACAACGGAACGTAGATGTGTACCAGGTTAGGGTTAGGCCATAATTTTATTCCAATTTTCCATATTTTGGTTCTATTGCGAGTTCTGAGACTAGCCAAGTAACTCCCGTAGAATGTGTACCTGAAATTATGGCCTAACCCTAGCCTGGTACACATACACATCTTTGTTCGCATACTACAGGAGTACCGATATAGATTTGTTTAAGGGAAGGCCGGATGCGGCCCACCAAGGTATAATGTACGTCCCCCTGCTTTCAGAGAAAGTTATGAAAATTTCTAACAACTATATATAGGGTTTGGATCCCTTTTTAAACTTCACTCCTAAATTTGATAAATTTGTTGACGGGAGTCGTCGAATGCATCAGTCGCGTCGTCAATATTCTGTTTATGAAAATTATCTGATAATGAGTTACTTTGCTTTATCAAATAAAATTTTATCAGCTGGTCTTTTTACTTTTCTGAATGCAGCTATTGCTACAAAAGCTTGCCAACGCCTGGTTTAAGGCTCAAGTTATTCTCATACAATTGACACACCTCATCTTGTTTGAGGAACAAATCTTTAAAAGACAAGTATTCAATCACAGAGATTATATTTTACGAATTTAAACATTTTCTTTCAGTTCTTTCATGACATCAATGAAATTGAACTTTGTGCGAGTGAAATGAAAAAATTGAATAAACCAATTGCACTGTGTATGAGAGTCGGATTAATGGGAGATGTGAACGGAGTCTCGCCAGAAGAATGCGCAATACGGATGGCAAAAACCGGAGCGGAGATTATTGGTAAGTTTCTACACGCCCTTTTTTATCCAGTTATTTTCAGTCATACCCAGTACGCCGGTGATGATTAGTGTCAGTGAATTTGTAAGCATATAGGCTATTGCAATGATGCTGTAGAAAGATTGAAGTTACTTATTCTAAGTGATTCATGAGTCTTGTTGCAGGCATATATTATGCTATAATGCAGCAAGACTTTTGAATTACTTAAACTCAAAATCAACGGCAATTTATCGTAAGTTATTTATTATCGTCCTACAGAGGAGGTTGTAAAATTTGTTAATGTCTTAAAGGAACAAACTGCTCGTACGACACCGATACCAGCCTCAAAGTGATGAAAAGAATAGTGAATGCACTCAAAAAGGAAGACTTGCACCCTTACCTTATCTGTCAACCAATCGGTTACGTCTGTCCTGATGCAGAAAACAGTCCAATTGGCTTTTACTCTCTTATAGAATATCCGCTTTGTAAGTACAGTTGTTTTTTGAAAATTGTAATACGAAATATGTTCAGAAATACTCAGAACCATTCATTAATTCAAGAATATTCTTGTAGATTTTTTTCAAAACTTGTAAATTTATCCCAAAGTTAAAGAAAAACGAATCTAGTTATCGAATTTTATTTACTCTTTTCAATGTCTTTGGTGGAGACGGAAATCAAACCAACACAACTGTTCAGTGTCTTGGAGGACTCAGCCACGAAGGGATTTCTTTATCCGGGGCTATTAATTGCAGTTTTATTCAATTGTCCAGTCTGGTATATAATAAACTTGGAAAAATTGAAAGCCAATTTGCATGTTTGTCTGCAAACTTCTCATACAAACTCGAATAAATCGGACAAAGTATTTCAAAATTACATTGCTATTTTTTTACTAACTTATTTATTACCCCCGCCAGGTCTTGACCCAAGATCAATGACAAGAATAGAAGCTCACAAGTTTGCCAGAGAAGCGTGGGAGATTGGCGTCAGATATATAGGAGGTTGTTGTGGGTTCGAACCTCATCATATTCGTGCAATAGCTCAAGAGGTTCGTTCTGTATTGAAAATAAATAAGGAAATGTTTTATATCTAAAGCAGTATTGCCATGGCGTGATTCCTTACTAGTATAATATGCGTCGGTTGTCCTTGGTTCGCAACTATATGGTACCGTATTGTTAGAATGATATCAATCAATAAATCAATCAAAAAATGACATAATTTTTGTCTACGAAACAACAGCAAGTATATTTGTGTGCTACGAAGTACGTAAGGAGAAATAATCTAAAGATCAATACGCGATACATGTATCACCAAAAATGCTTGATATGTCTAACAGTTTGCTAATAAATGATAGATAATGCGATTGATTGGCAGGCATAAATACCAAAATAAGTGTTAAATCAAACCGAACTTTGAGCAGAACACACTCAGATTTTGTTGTTATAAATATTTACCGTATCTTACTGATCCTATGACGCACTTAAAATTCTTTTCTCCCACAAGAATCGACCGTGCTTCTTCAGCTGGTGCGCCTGGTAGAGCTTTATTGCTTACAATTAAAACCAGTACCAGTATCCGTTGCGTCTTGTAGCCTGATGCGCCTCATATACAAATTAAACCCAATCTAAGCAATTTATTAACAGTGTTCCTTGTTATAACTCAGTGCGCTTTTGGCATGTAAAATACGGCAAATAACATTACTAACAAACTGGAAAACAAGTTTTCTTGTGTATTGTAGCTTGCTGCCGAAAGAGGTAGAAAACCTCCAGTTGAAGATATGGCACAAGCATTTGGCGGAGAATATTTCAAAACGAGCCTTGTGTCAGATATAGCGAGTGGAGAAACGTAAGTAGATCTAATGTACAATAATATGAGAAAGTTCCATTTCGTTCGAAATGTACACTGGCCCATAGAAGGGGATCTTTTTACAGCCCCCGCCACTAATGCAAAAATGTCAAATTTCCCCGTCACGTTTCAAGTAGCCTACTGGTGATTGTCTTCGCTACGTTTTAAGTAATTACGCGTTCGCTAACCATAATCCTGACATCGCTGAATTCGGTGCTGGACTTCATCAATGAAAAAAATTGTGACTGGATGATTACTATTTGTTTGGCGGGAGCTTGCTATGAAAGATCCATAAAAGGTCTATCTTTAGTCAGTGTGATCATTTTCAAAACATTAGGAGTTAAGGTTATGTCCAGCTGAACTCAATTACAGAAAACAAAAAATGGACTACACTTCCGAGTATGTAATGGATCTCCCTTGATAATGTAAAATACGTTCTGTAAACATAACACTTCATACCAGAGGTTTTCAATCGGGGTCCCACCGGTACAGTTCAGAGGTTTCGCAAATTTAAGAGTCTATATTTTTATTAGTTTATTGTTTAAATGTAATTAAATTGGTTTGATACTATTATTGAACTTGTTACACCTTAAAGATCATTTTGTTCTGACAATATTAGTTTTGATATTATATTAATTTTTAGGTTTTGCAATTCAGACAATAAAAGACAACTTAAGTAATCCACGGGGGTTCCTCAAGCCTCTGGGAGGTTTCATGGGGGTTCCGATTCACTAACATGGTTGATAACCACTGCTCCATACTATACAAACGATCATTTAGTGATGCTATTGTGTGTCAAATATTGTTTTAGTGTCATCGAGACGTGCAAAATGGAATACATAATAAAGTCACTGAAAATACAATTTCTGTAAGGAATGAAATTGTCAAATATTTAATTTTTATTTTTATATATTGCCAGAGCTACAAGAGAATATTGGATGAATATGAAACCAGGATTTGGCAGACCCTTTAACCCATCTTGTTCAAAACCAAAGGACGTAAAATTCAACTAACAATTCAAATGAAATATGATTTTTAAAACACTGCGGAACAACAAATGTAATTTGGTGGAAGAGATTTTACGACGGCAATTATGTATTAATTTATGATTAGAAAGATACTAAGTTTCAAGAAATACTTTTAACCTATAAACTCCTGAAAGAGGATTTTGCTATTTATGTCCTTCTGTTTTAGTTCGATGATATACATAGGAGTGATATATTTATTTTCATGACAGGGTGCAAAAGTGATTACTAAAATTAAAACATTTATATCAATTATACGTACATGACAATAAGTTCCGATTATTCAATTTTCTATGCTATTTAAAAGTGTGTTGTAATAATAACAAGATTCTTAAGGGTACTAATGTAATCTAATATCAATTTTCATCGTTTTCCCTGTTAGTTTTGGATGTGCTGTGACGTTACAATTATATGCAAAATTTGCCAAATACATGTGCTTTGCAAGACTGAAGAATATGAGTGACGGTGCTATTATACTAAGATTCTCCCGAAACTTGCTTGATTGGAGGGGGGGGGGGAGGGAGGGGCTTCATCTGATCTAGCTCGTAGGGGGAGATTTTCAGTTATCGACTCTTCATTCTGTCTCGTGCCGTATGAGCGAGGACAGAAAACACATGTTACTTCAACAGAAGCCGGGTATCGTATATTTATCGTTAACAAATTCTGACAAACACCGATCATGTAATCAGGCACGCGTGCGTGACAATACTAGAAGAACGCATACATATCATTATACACAATCTGGCAAAAATTGTAAAGTTTGAGTGACTGAAAATGGTTGAAATATGAAGATGCTCTTGCAAACACGTTGTTGACACGATGTTTTGCATGATGATACTCATATAGTCCTATTCAATTTTCGTAATATTTCTTCAACGTGGAGTAGCCATTTACATTTGCTTTGGCTCCCCAAGCTTTACTGCTGAAGCTTTACAATCTTAGCGAGATGATGTGCACATACCGTCATAAAATAAAAGTTGGTGCAATGCCATTTGATTAAATAAAATCGTGCTGGGGGTGGAAAGTCCCATAGAATGGATAATCTATATTCATTATATAGTCTTTGAATTCGCGATTCTTTATCACATGATGGGGAAGGTGCGAACTGAGTGTGCCTAACTCCGTATTCAAGTGGTAAACACTTGAGCTGGAAGGCACATATTTCTGAATTGTCTAAGAAACTATCTCAAACTGTTGGAATATTTTACAGACTAAGGAATATTTTGAATCCGGAAACACTCAAATTAGTCTACTATAGTCTATTTCTTTCGCGATTACAGTATGGTATACTTAGCTGGGACAAATAAGTCCATCTGTATCGACAGTTTAATATCTTACAGCTGTGTGAAATGCATAGACTTGAAATAGCAAATTTTATGCATCGGCGTGAAAATGGCCTTGTTCCCATTGCTTTCCAACACTATTTCACTAGGCTACAAGATGTATATAGTCCAGCGGATAAGACCTCAAATATGATAGAATTGTGCACTTTTGGATGCAAGCATGAAACCTGGCACACATGTACAGTAACATCTTCTGATCAATTTTGGATATGGTGCCATACAAGAAAATACCGCGTTGCCATGGAAACGAGGCATCATCTGTATTGCTATCTAAGTGTAAGAAACATTACTTTAGGAAAGAATATTTTCAAGATAAGTAAACCGATGTTTATTTAAATAGTAAGGAATATGATAAAAAGTGCACTTTGACAAATTCCCTTGATAACAGAATACCTGGTTACCATGGGAACGAGGTGTCGTTCCCATGAATTCCCATCAATTCCTATTGTGTTCGACACGAGCGGGAAGCAGTGATTTCCCTACACCCCCCTCCCCCCCCTAATAATTTTGAGGTTCGGTTCCACACCGTAAATCCTAACTCAAGTATAATTGTAATTATATATATCGACAATGGCATATTTATCAGTGTAGTTGAGGGTTCCAAATCGCAGTCTGTGGGCCAATTGCGACCCGCGTAACAATTTAAAATGGCCCGCCGAACTTGAGTGAAATAGTTTAACACTTTATGGGCTTACCTTTTGAGTTTTAGATACCGTCTATCGTTACATAATCATCACAGTTTAAGCATGTTTATTTTGTAACAATTGAAATATACCGGTATCTTATGTATACGTATGGGTATTAGGATTACACACTGCAGTATTTTAGGTACCAGCCTTATATTAGGAAAGCTTGAAGATGTCACAAAACGAAAACTAGGCACCGAAAACAGACATTTTTTAGATGAAGGGCGTCGTTTTCATTTCTTTATTGGAAAGAATCAAACTTCAGCGATTTGTCTTCCTTGCCAACAAAATATTTCAGTTCAGAAGGAATACAACATTATGCGCCATTATGATCGGTTGACGCGCGTATTTCAAAATTTAATTCATACAAAAGTCAAACAAACATGTTCAAAAATATGCGAAATGTGTTACCCCAAGCCATAAGTAGCCATTCATACGATGCCATATGCTAGATGAGCAAGTAACTTCCTTAGTCACTATCAGTTGCAAATTACTTGCTGAAAGTCAAGCTTGTTATTTATTTCTTGGAAATTCTATCAGCTAAATATTATAATTAATGATTTCATTACATAACAAACTGCGATGCTAGGTGTATCTAAAACCAAGCTTAGAGCCTATTTCTCAAAATTTTCTCAGGGCGCTTAAGCGCGCCCTGAACCCCAGCCGTGTCGTCGCACATTTTCCTCGCTCCCCTTTTCTGGCCCTATAATTTTCTGCTGCTGTGTATTTTGGCTCGCCGGCAATCAACTTGGGGGGACCCCATTAGGTACATCGTTTCTTAAATACATACCAATTTTTAAGATTACAAATAGTTTTATCTCTAATAGCAAATTATTTACCACCCCCGAAATTTCGAAACACCCCCCCTAAAATGAAAAGCTGGGGAACATACTGGCGGGAAGTATTCCTGTTATCACAAATTAGGCTACATTCACCTCCCTTTGTAATTCCTTGTGTGCTCAATCAACTGTCATTGCCAATGGTATATTTTCAAACTCATACCCAAATAAAGCTGGTGAAAATATAAAATATATATCTCATAACTGACGGATTATTGTTATCTTGGAGCTATCATATCGTCATCATATATATTAATAAAAAAAATTATTCTCATAACCCTGGCATGGAGAATCTCAGCCAGATAATCTGTGGAAGACGGAAAACTTACATTACATTTCAGCTCAGACTCGGCTGGAATCATTGATTCTTGTAATTTAGATCTAACGTCGCCTTATGTAAGTGCTACAATAATGAAATAAATAGAAAAACGATTGAAATAATTATATTTTCCAAAAATATATTCCACAAAGACTCCCCAATAACCAGTGGGAGCAATTTTACTATTTAGATGTATACTTCAAACAAAGCACTTATAATGCATGAAATATATTGCCTAATTGAATTCGATTCTTGAAACAAACTTTTAGGTACATTCTACTCTTCCATATATTGCCGTTGGCTATCTGTGTCATGTGAAAATAGTAAATATCTATATTGCCCTTCTAATAATCAGAATTCAATTAACAATAAACATTAATACTACTTTCCTCTCGAAAATCGTGTGCACTAAGCTCCAACAAATCTCAATATTTTCACTACATTTTATAAGACTGCAAATTTATTGAATACCAGGCAACATACTGTTTTATATCTGTCACAATGTTTATAATCGCGGTGCACAGGAAATGTGTTTTCGACATTCGTTATTTACCGGTGATAAATTCGGCCGATTGATATAATGAATAGCGGTTTAAGACCTTAATATGTATGGAATAATATTATGTGTACAAGGATTGAGATTAGATTATGGGAATCAATTTTTATGGCTTATATCTTGACAGGTTGATGGACCGAAATAAGAAAAGGGAAATGTTTTCTACCCGGCGTAATTTATCTTACCCCAGCAGGTGTGGGAAATCACTTTCCTGAGGGGGTCCAGTTGCAGATAATAGACTTAGTGGACTTTGAAGTGAAGTGAGCTTTATAACCGTATCTGCTGCCCTGATATTAAGCTATTGTGTCGAAAATTGTTGGCGAAAGTCTTATATATGTTTTGTTCAAAAAAAAAAGTCTTGTAATGTTATATTCTTCGAACACCGGAAACCCTTCATTACAAATTAAGCAGGCAGTTGAATATTGTCTTTAAAAAATACGTCTCTCCATTTCTTGATAAAAAAAAACGTCATTCGGAATCCACATTGCGTTTCCCACTCATACTGATGGATTTGTTACAGTGGCTGGCAAATTACGGCAGCTGCAGAGAAAATGTTGGTAGAAAAATAAGTCCAAACCTGGACTAAAGTTTATATATTAAACAGCATTATGCAGCAATCGGGTCATCTTGAATGAGTTTTAGGTATAGGTGGCTGGCTTTCCACATTATTTACAGGTGCAGATAATACATGTCTATATCTTAGCCGACGACTCGTTGGTTTCAACGCAAATTTATATCCATAAAATCTATATATACTGTAGTCGTCAATTCTACAGGCACAAGTGGGCCGGATGAAATACTTAGACGACCTGGATCCTGCCCGCGTGCTGTATTTTACACACCCTGTCTTAGTGGTACCTCAATCAATCGGACATCAATCAATTATTGAAAACGAAGTGTACATATGAATCGTTTTGTTATTATTTTGTTCTCGCGCCAAGGTGGCGCACAACATGAACATAGTATTTGTGTTTCGGTTAGGGTTCGGGTTGTGCGACTAATAATAGTGTTTGGTCGATAACGATACCTCATTTCCATGGTAACCAGGTATTCTGTTATCAAGGGCAATTGTCAAAATGCACTTTTGATCATATTCGTTACTTCTTAAATACACACCGGTTTACTTATCTTAAAAATATCCTTTTCTAAAGTAATGTTTCTTTCACTTTAATAGCAATACGGAAGATACCTCGTTTCTATGGCAACGAGGTATTTTCTTGGATGGCATCATATCCAAAATTGATCAGGGGATGCTACTGTACATGTGTGCCAAGTTTCATGCTTGCATCAAAAGTGCATGATTTTACCTTTTATCCGCCGGACAAATAAATACGCTACCAGGTCCCAAAAAAATAAGTCGCATTTTCCCCCTCAAGTAGCCACAGAGTTTGAGAAAGATCTCTGAAATATAGTGGTGTACAGGTCTGGGGCATTGTACAACCCGAAATCAAAAACTGTTCAGCATATACTTCCGATAAAAATATGGGAAAATTATTGTTTTCCATGTACCGTATCCATACTATCCGTACTGTCCATGTGATCCGTATAATTCTGTTTAATATACTGTAATTGCCTTTTTAATGCTGCTAAAAGTTATTGTGTATTAAGTGATGAACTGCATATCAATTGCATATCTAATTGTGCATATTTAATTATGGATCATACATCAATATTCCATTTCTCTTTCAAGTATGTATAAATACTTATTACTGTTGGTAGCCTTTTCATAAATTAATTTAATAACCTTTTTATCTTGTTAGAATTCATTGTGTAATAAGTGTTGAACTGGGTGATCAATTGCATTTCTACTTGTGGATCATACATTAATATTTCATTTCTATTTCAAGTATGTATAAATCTTTATGAATAATGGTAACCACTATACAGTATTCAGTGATTGTCACTGATTTCGTAAATTAATTTAGTATATTATTTATATTGTTAAAATTCATCGTGTAACAAGTGATGCAATGAATATTTAATTGTGGACCATACATTAATATTCCAGTCTTTTTCAAGTATGTATAAATACCTATGAATGTTGGTGCTATTTTTTCCCCTGCGAACCAATTAAGGTGTCGAATGATACTTTAACGTCATGCACTGTATTACTGAATCTGTGATGATATTATTTTCTTGTCCCTATTTTTGCATTTGTGATCCCGGTCTGTGTCCAATAAATTTTTTTTTTAATATGATTTTTTTTTAATTCTTTCATTGGACACGATCGGCTTCCACCAATACATGTCCTCTCAAAATCCTTAATTGCCTCTTAATACCTTACATAATAACTTTGAATTGCTGATTCATTCACTCATTTCTTTATCTTTATATTTTATTTAATATCATTTGCCTCCGCCCATGGTACTATATTATGCTCTAATGAGCTTATATAAAGCATATACACAAGGGTCGGGAGTCTATATGACTTTAATCGGTCCTGCACACCGACCCGCACAAAACAAGTTTTATTATCTTCAAACAACGATTAATACAACAATTGAGAGCTAAAAAACATTTGAACAAGTTTTCCTTGGTCAGCATGACTAGTGACGTTATATCATTCTTCAGTTACAATGTGCAATAAAAAAAACCTCAAAACAGCAAATAAGAACTTGCTCATTGAAAACATGTTTTACAGAGACGTGTGTGCTTTGTGGCTAGTGAATTTTAGTGTTGTCAGCTAAGTAGCTTTATGAGTATAAATCTGATTCTGTTTTCCAAATTTAGTGATGAGAAACCGAGCACGAGTTTGTGTATTATAACGTAGAATTTTAATTTTAGGCTGTCTTTTCCGGGACATCAGATTTGTTTTATATTTTTATTTATTCTTCTTTAATTCAGTAGAATGATGAAGATTACCAATGATTAATCTAAAATACCAGATCAGACTTTGGTGCACTGCCACATTAAAACAGAATTGTTGTGCACTTTGATTTTATTTGTTCTAAAGCTTTATTGTTTATTTAATCCTTGACTAGTGAAACGTTATTATACACAAAGTGTACATATGGACCCTTAAGCTAAAGTACAATTGCTGCTGTTGAAAAAACGCTTTTCTTGGATGATTGAAATCGATTACAAGTGTTTTGTACTGAAATGGAGAAAAATCTCTAGATGGCTGTTATTGTCAATTTTGCAAATTTCTTGACAGCTATGGGTCGCGATATTTTATTCAGAATTTTCTTGTTTTATTTTAATTTAAGGAAACACTTTTTATGATGTACCTGAACGCTGTATTCGGTCACCCGTGTGAGGCCTTTATATATTTCAGCATTTGCTCTTTAGTTTTTATCGTAAAAAAAACAGATTCGATGATTATTCTAGCATTAGTTTAACGCAGAATTCCTTACATAAAAAACCTGAAATACGCAATATGGCAGAAAAGAAAGGTATTTTGCAGCGACTAGCTGAAGGTCCAGTTGTCGGAGATGGAAGCATGTGTTTTATTCTCGAAAAACGAGGATATGCCAAAGCAGGTCGGTGGACCCCAGAAGCCGTTTTGGAGTATCCTGACGCCGTTCTTCAGTTGCACAAAGAATATGTGAGGTCTGGAGCCGATGTTGTTCAGACTGCTTCATTTTATTCCAACGACGATAAATTAGCATACGGACGCAAGGGCGAAGAAGTAATTCATACAGTAAGTATACATATACACAGATACTCGTTCTAAGTCAGGCTGGTGCAAACCCAGGCCCGCGTCGCATTCGAAGAGTAATCAAAAAATTGTAATTAGTGTTGTTTCGTCATAAAATAAACTAGAAAAATCTTTTGACATATTTTACATCACTAATGTCACTGAATTGACTAATGTTATGGCTAGAAGAGTTTCTATCTTTTTGGTCAGGAATATATGCTTACAATTTTGGCATCGTGGAGAACTTAAAATTGAATGCGGATTTTATTAGCCTTGGTTGGCTATGCCTGATAAATAAATATCAATGTTATGGTCTAACAATATAATTCATGTCGGGAGTTTGTTGCAACCAGCCTAAACAGAATTACAAAAATTGCTGCCTATATGACAGAAGATTTAGTTATTATCTTCGATATTCGGAATCACTTACAATTGCGGAAGCTCTTTTTCCGCTTGAAAGAGTTTTGAATCGTACACTAATTATGAATATAGAAAGACTTCTGCATGTTTCATTAAGTTTTTGGTGGTTTTTGCATGTTTAGCTTAATAAATGACAAATACTGATCCATGTAATTCCACAATAAAAGTGTTTGTTTTGTATTGAACTGTTTACCTATCCTTGGCACTATTGTGGCCTGCGAACAATGCAAAAATAATTTTGTGGTCTCCCGAGCCGACAACCTTGGACTACCCTGTTCTAAGTGATTCACGCGTCTTGCTGCACACTAAAACAAATGTATATATATATATATGTGAATTATTCACTTAAAATGGTTATGATATCTTGATATAGCATGCTGCATTATATGCATACGGATCCACCAGCGCAAAGGCATAGAAAAGGATTAGTAGTTAGTCTCGCAAAACCCCAATCGATAGCACAGATAATTTGAACATGGGACCCCGACGCACGTTAAGTGTTTCGTAAACAAACCCATACGAAACATATTTCATAAAACTTGTTGACGCAGGATTCAAAAATTGATAGTCTTTTATAATAAAAGAATACTAGCACAGTTTTTTTTGTTTTTGTTTTTTACAGAGTGCCAAGATTAATGAAGCAGCTTGCAAATTGGCTAAAAAGGCCGCTGACGAAAACGGATGTCTAGTTTGTGGTGGATTTTTTCCTGTTCCTTCATATAAAAAAAGCGGAGAAGAAGCGGCTAGTGTGGAATATCAAAAACAAGCTAAAGTTTATCAGGATCACGATGTTGATTTCGTTATGGCTGAGGTGAGAAGAATATATTGCGCTATAAATATAGAATAAAAGAAGATTCAGATTTGTTTAAGAGACCGGATGCGATCCCCAATGGGTACTCCCGAGGTATGTGAACCAAGATTACGGACACCGAACGCAGTATGTGTACCACGCTAGAGTTAGGCCATAATTTCAGATACAAATACTACGGGAGTCACCTGGCTAGTCCCCGAACACCTAACATAACTAAATTAAGGAAAATTGGAATAAAATTATGCTCTAACCCTAACCTGGTACACATACCACGTTCCGGTGTCCGCCATCTTGATTCACATACTTACGGAGTATCCACCAAAGTATAATGTACGGCCCCCTGCTCTCGGAGAAAGTTGTGAAAATTTCTCACATCTACATATAAAATTAGGATTCATTTTTAAACTTCACTCCTAACTTTGATAAATTGGTTGACGACAGTCATCGAATGCATCAGTCGCGTTGTCAATATTCTTTTTATAAAATTTATCTGGTAATGAGTTTTTGAACTTTGCTTTATCAAATAAATTTGTGCCAGCTGATGTTTTTACTTTTCTAAATGTAGATATTACTAAAAAAGTTTGCCCACACCTGGGCAACAAATCTTCAAAAGACAAGTATTCAACCACAGAGACTATTTTATACGAATTTAAACATTTTATTCCAGTTCTTTCATGACATCAATGAAATTGAACTTTGTGCGAGTGAAATGAAAAAATTGAATAAACCAATTGCATTGTGTATGAGAGTTGGATTAATGGGAGATGTAAACGGAGTCTCACCAGAAGAATGTGCAATACGGATGGCAAAAACCGGAGCGGAGGTTATTGGTAAGCTTTTACACGCTTTGTTTCATTCTGTTATTTTCATTTTAGTACGCTCTGCTGTCAGACAAAGCAAACAATAAAGTTGTAAAGCCGTAGAATACAGTGTTTTTTACAGCAGTAACTTTGTGAATTTCATGCACTAACAGCCGTTGTGTGTTTACAGTTTCTGGAAACAACAAAGACGCAAATCGCATAAAGCATATGTGTCTATTCCATACTGCTGTATAAACCTGTGCTTTCGGTACCGACTATATTTATTCTATCTTTTTGCACCGGTGAATCTGTATGCATATAATTCAAAGATGCTGTAACAAGAATAAAGCTAACTATATTCTAAGTGAAATAAAAATAGTGCTGCGCAATAACAGAAATAATATTATACATCAGCAAGACTCTAGAATTACTTTACCTCAAAATCACTGACAATTCAGCGCTATATTTCATATTCGTTAATTTTTATCGCCATACAGAGCAGGTTTTAAAATTTAATAATGCATTAAAGGAACAAACTGCTCGTACGACACCGATACCAGCCTCAAAGTGATGAGGAGAATAGTAAATGCACTCAAAAAGGAAGACTTGCACCCTTACCTTATCTGTCAACCAATCGGTTACATCTGCCCTGATGCAGAAAACAGTCCAATTGGCTTTTACTCTCTTATAGAATATCCGTTATGTAAGTACAGTTGTTTTTTAAAAACTTTTTAACAAAATATGTTCAGAAATACCCAGAACCATTCATTAATTCAAGAATATTTTTGTAGTATTTTTCAAAGCTTGTAAAGCTATCTCGAAGTTAAAAAAGCGAATGTCGGTATTGATCTGTATTTACTCTTTTCAACTGGTTTGGGGGAGACGGAAATCGAACCATCACAACTGTCGACACAATCCAGTGTCTTGGCGTGTTCAGCCCCGAAAGGATTTCTTTATCCGAGGCAATTGATTGCAGTTTTATTCAATTGCCAAGTTTGATACATAAAAAACTTTAGAAAATTGGAAGCCAATTTTCATGTTTGTCGGCAAACTATTAATAAATCGGACAAAATATTTCAAAATCACATTGTTCATTTTATACTAACCTATTTACTACCCCCACCAGGTCTCGACCCAAGATCAATGACAAGAATAGAAGCTCACAAATTTGCCAGAGAAGCGTGGGAGATTGGCGTCAGATATATAGGAGGTTGTTGTGGCTTCGAACCTCATCATATTCGTGCAATAGCTCAAGAGGTTCGTTCTGTGTTTAAAACAATTACGGGAATGTTTTATATCTGAGGGAGTATTGCCATGGCTTGATTGCTTACTAGTGTAATATGCATTGGTTGTTACTGGTTCGCAACTAAATGGTGCAGTCTTGTTCGAAGAATCTCAATCAATCAAACAACAAATAACATAATTTTTGTCTACAAAGCAGCAACAAGTATATTTGTGAGCTACGAAGTACGAAGCATGTAAGGAGAAATGTCCTTATCATTAAGATCATTATGCAATATACATGCCTTCAAACAATGCTTGCCATCTCTAACAGCGTGCTATAAACTGATAGATATTTTGATTGATTGTCAGGCATAAATAACAAAATAAGTGTTGAATCAAACTGAACTTTGGGCCGAACACACTTAGATTTTGTTGTTATAAATAACCACCGTATCTTACTGACCCTAAGGATCACTTGAATTTTTTTCTCCCACAACAATTGACTGTGCTTCTTCAGCTGGTGCGCCTGGTAGAGCTTTATTACTTACAATTAAAACCAGTACCAGTTGCCTCTTATAGCCTGATGCGCTTCTTATACACTAAAAACCCAATCTAAGAAATTTATTGACAGTGTGCCTTGTTATAACTCTGTGCGCTTTTGGCCTGTAAAATACGGAAAATAACATTACTTACAAACTGGAAAACAAGCTTTTTTGTGTATTGTAGCTTGCTACCGAAAGGGGTAGAAAACCGCCAGTTGAAGATATGGCACAAGCATTTGGCGGAGAATATTTTAAAACGAGCCTTAGGTCCGATTTAGCGAGTGGAGAAAGGTGAGTAGATCAAATGTCCAATATACTTAGAACGCTTTATTTTGTTTGAAATATATACTGGCCTATAGAAGTGAATATTTTTAAAGCCCCGCTACTACTATAAAAAATGTCAAATTTCCTCGCCACGTTTCAAGTACTGGAAATGGCATCCGCCACATTTTAAGTAAATGCTAACTTTACTCCCGACATTGCTGAATTCAGTGCTGAACACCATTAATGAAACTAATTGTAATTGAATAATTACTATTTTTGGCGGGAGCATCCTATGAAAAGTCTTTCGTTTGCTAGTGTGATATTTTTCAAAACATTAAGAGTTAAGGTAATTTCCAGCTGAACTCGATTGAAGTAAACAAAATATTGACTTTCGTGTATGTAATGGATCGCCCTTGATAATGTAAAATACGTTCTGTAAACATAACACTTCATACCAGAGGTTTTCAATCGGGGTCCCACCGGTACAGTTCAGAGGTTTCGCAAATTTTCATTCAAATATAAGAGTCTATATTTTTTATAAGTTCATTGTTTAAATGTAATTAAATTGGTTTGATACTATTATTGAACTTTAAAGATCATTTTGTTCTGAAAATATTAGGTTCGATTTTATAATAATTTGAAAATATTTGCGATTCAGACAATGAAAACAACTAATTCACGTGGGTTCCTCGAGTTCCTGAAAAGTTTCATTGGGCTTCGCTTCACGAAAATAGTTAAAAACACGACTCTATAGTATAAAAAATATAGCATATTAGGGTCACTGAAAATACAATTTTTGTAAGAAAGGAAAATGTCGAATCCTCTTTTCTACTTTTCTATATTACCAGAGCTTCAAAAGAATATTGGATGAATATGAAACCAGGCTTTGGGAGACCTTTTAACCCACCGTGTTCGAAACCAAAGGACGAAAATTACAACTAATAATTAAAATGAAATGTGATATGAAAAACAAAAATGTAATTTAGTGGAAGAGATTTTACGACAGCAATTATTTACTAATTTATGATTATAAACTGATTATTTTTCGTTTTTGCTACTGTGTCATTCTGTTTTGGGTCGATGATATAAGAATTGATATTTCATTTTCATGACACGGTGCAAAGGTGATTACTAAAATGTAAACATTTATACCAATTATACGTCACTGATAATCAGTTTCAATTATTTAATTTGCTATGCTATTTAGACGTGTTTTGTAATAATATTAAGATTCTTAACAGTACTAATGTAACCTAATATCAATTTTCATCATTTTCCCTGTTAGTTTTGAATGTGCTGGGACGTTACAATTATATGCAAATTTGCCAAATACAAATGCTTTGCGATACTGAAAACATGAGTTTTCAGGATCATATGAAGATTCCCTCAAAACTTACTTGAGAGGGGGAACCTGCATATGATCTAACATGTGTGGGAAATTTACAGTTGTCGGCCCTTTCGACAGGCAAGGACAGAAAACCCAGGCTTCTTCATCAGAAGGCGAGACTCGAATGTTTATCGTAAACAAATTCACACAAATACAGATTCACTTTGCAAGCTATTTAACGCAAAAGTAAATAAGAATCAGAATAGGTAGGCTACATACACGTCCAGATCGTCTTGGCATTGATTAATTTTGTATACAGCTTCAAGGGGACTATATCATAGTCTATATATAGACTATATCATAGGTCACTCAGATCAGTTAGCATGATTAATACATTTGATATAAGAGAGTTCCCGAAGTATCTTATGTCGGTGCTGTTGAAGTATGTGCACCAAGATGGCGCACAATCTGAACATGGTGCGTGCACCAGGTTAGGGTTCAGGCTGTGTTCCATCTTCGTGCACATACTTCGAGAGCACCGACATAAGATATGAACACGTACGGCAAAAAAATACATTTTATCATCTATCCCCCGAAATGCATATGCGGTACGGTGACCTAACTGGACCGTACCTGTAGGCCTGATATTTAATCAGAAAATCGTTTGAAGTAAGTTAAAAACAGTGTCGTCACTAACGCTTAGATTTATATTGATTGTCACATTTTAACCATGTTGTGGTGAGACATCACGTCCATCGGCCAAATGTTTGATTGAAACATCAGCGCAACAATGATAGCAAGTTGAATTTTATATATTGCACATCCCAAACATGTCTTTTTCAAAGCCTGCAGTGAAGAGAAAGGTTGGTGATTAGCACAGACAATTGCAAGAGAAGTTGAAAATGCAATATTTCTTCGTTGAACATAGGGGCACCCTCGACATATCTTATCTGCACAGAGAAAATTGCATTGCACCAGGAATACAATTTAAAAAGTCATTACACGACAAGACACGGGGAGTATACAAAATATCAGGGAGATGAAAGAGCTAAACGAGTTGCTAGTCTTAAAACAGGTCTACTGAGGCAGCAAGATTTCTTCAAGAAAGCAACCAGTGTAGTGCAGCAGTCGAAGCTAGCTACGTGATTAATGAGAATATTGCAATACCCGGAAAGCCATTCACAGAAGGTGAGTTTGTAAAAAAGGGCTTATTACAAGCTGCAAGTACAATCTGTCCAGAAAAGAAAGGCCAGTTCAGCAATATCAGCCTTTCTGTCAACACAGTGGCAGAGCATATTTCTAACCTGTCAAGTGACATTTAGGATCAAGTGTGTGAGAAAGCCAAATGTTTACATACTCAGTCACTCTTGATGAGAGCACAGACATCATAGACACTGCCCAGCTCGCAATTTATGTCCCTGGTGTAAAAATGACAATTTTGAAGTGATGAAGGGGTTGCTCAGAGTAGATCCAATGCACGGCTAGACCCCATGCAAGAATCAATGCAAACACAACACAAAAGTGTTTAACGGAATTAGAAAAAAAATTGAAATATACACATAAGAAATAACGCCACAGATTCATTGCAATCGATAAGGGGTCGCAAAGGACTGTAACTTCGTTCGCGTTCACGAACCATGACAAACTGGTGCTTTCTATGTTATCTATCCCAAGACCGGGATGAATCCCATCACTCCGTATGTAGATTATATCTGTAGTGATTACTACAGTCAAAGTCTGATATATTATATAAACAGAAGCGAAAAAAGGTCAATTTTTAAATGACTTGAACACGTTTTTTGATATCAGTAGCGACGACAATATTTATCGGAATTTCAAGATTTAATGAATGTGATGAAAACGGATTTTTTACATATTAGGCTTCCAAAATAAACGGTGCCTCCGTAGTATGTGCACCAAGATGGCGCACAACCTGAACATAGTATGTGTACCTGGTTAAGTTATCAGGCTGTGCGACATCTTGGTGCACATACTACGGAAGCGCCAAATAAACTAACAAAAGATTAATCTTTACACAAACAAGTTACAACGCGATGCTTTGTTTCATATTGCGCGTGCTATCCATAATTAACTTAATTAAATATCACAAATTCCATGTTTACATTTAAGGCTCTCACTCTTAACCGTTGTTAGCCATTCCTGATACACAAAATGCAATCATACAGAAGCTATTAGCTAAGCATATTTAGCTCGCATGGGAGTGTTCAATTATCCTTATCAAACTGAAATTTATTATCCAATATTTGTGAAAGGGCTGGGTTGTAAGGTCTGCCAGTACCAGCTTTCAGTCCACACCAATATTCCCTTGACGACCTGAAACGTGAAATAAATGTATGTTATGATGGCGGATTTGTATTGAATAGGCTTCCATCGGATTTAGGGCTACATATTTAGCCCGTGAATAAGAAAAGCCGATAAGACGGTTTAATCGTATCGTCCGGTTACCAGTCCATGTCGGGTATGGGAATAGTTAGTCAGTTAATAATTTCTGAAGTATGGACTTGATGGTGGAGGAAGCCGTAACCGATCAGCGGTTACGTGTCGAGGAGTCCAACAATCCTTTCGCACATACCTATCGCCACATGAGATTCGTACCTGTGAACCCACTCAGGGTAATCGAAGGGGCGGGAGCAAGCGTATTCCTAACGCTTAGGCCGATGAGCCACACCGTCTTGCAAGTTTGAGATTTACAAGATTTGTTGAATCAGTCTTATTATATTAACGCACTGTCAAATTGAACTGCTCAATGGCTTACGGGATTGACGTGATTTTTGTGGATTCAAAATTTCTAGATTGGGTTGCAAGAGGGGTTCATAATGGTTAAAACATGTTCAAGAGTCGGAGATTCTGGCTAAAATAGATATTAGAATAAGAACGTTGCAGTACAATCTGCAATAATAAAAAATGTATTGCATTCCTGAAAACCCGAATTCTGATACTTATATATATGTTTGTGGGTTGTCGGTGTGCAGTTTTACCCAAGGTTGATTGGATGTTCAACTGTATTATGCCAAAACGAATTCTGCCACCGCGAACACCGAGAGAACCTTTTTTTTTATAGAGAGTTATGAATTCTATTTTATAGATTACATTGACTCGACTTCTTATCATTTCGCTTGTTTGTATGGGCAGAAGATTCAAACTATAAACTTTGTTTGCTCAAATCTGATTTGAACTGTACCCCATATTACGGCGCATATTGTTTTGTGAAGTTGCACAAATACTTTGACCTGAGCGAGGTTCCCAATCGGCGACTGCATTGTTTGAAGTACTTTACCGTTTGATTACTTAGCAATGCCAATATTGTGTTAAGGTTATTATTTTCAGCGACGTAACTGCCAAAGAAGATTAAAACTGCTATATGATGAGATTCTCGGAACAGCTCCGATAGGCACTAATAAAAAAACGTATCAAAATTCACTGTAAATTTGAGTTGGGTTGCGCGAGACTAACTTCCTATCTTTTTTCTATGCCTTTATGCTAGTGGATCCGTATGCGTATACTGCAAGGATACTGTAGCTGGAATAAACATGACTATCCTATCCAATTAAAGAGTCCGGCTGCACACTAACACAAATGTATTTGCGTAACGTTTCGTCTGACCCAAGTCGGACTTCCTCAGACAAGCAGTTTACAACAATGGCAAGAAATAAATTTGATAAATAAATTGAAAATCTCAAATCAAGTATGACGCAACAATGCATAAACATTTGAATTTGCATTTAGCCGTAGAAGTAATGATGGGAAAATTAGAACCACAAATATCAGTGGAGCTCATTTCAGATGTAATTAAAAAAATTTATTATTGCATTTACGAAAATGATGGGTAACTAAATGTAATTAAAATTAAGATTATGGGCACTTAGAGAACCACGAGGGAGTAAACCAACATTTAAACATAAATCAATGCTTAGTTTGGTGAGAACCAATTTTAAAATAAAATAAGGTTAAAAGTTATTGCTGAATTTTGATCCTAAATAGCGTTAAAATATAATAATAATTCATAATAATAAATGAATGAATGAACCATCTCTCACTAATATCTTTTACCCTGCTCATGCCACCTCAAACATATTACTGCAAACATTTCAAAGGGACTCTTCATAAGAATAAGAAGATCGTGCTCAAATGTCGAATTTTTCGACAAGCATGCAGAAATTATGAAACGCTATCTCATGCAACGAAATTACGAAGAGACTTCTATTGACAAAACAATAAAATTGGTAAAAGAAATGAACAGAGATTATCTTTTAACACCGAAAGGTACAAAACAAAGTCAGCAACTATTGCCATTTATTACCAACTACCACCCAAACCAACCGCACTTTAGAAAAATATGTTCGGACTACCAATATATTCTTGACAACAATGCACGACTAAAAGAGATTTTCCCTCAACCTCCGAAAATTGCATATAGAAAGTGCCCTACATTACGCGATAGACTGGTTAGAGCTAAACTACAACCAGTAATATCACAGAAAGTACAACCTGGTTTTTATAAATGTAATAGAAAAGCAAGCACCACCTGTAAATATTCCGAAGAAACAAAAATAAGTACCGGGAACGTGACGGGAGTCCATATAAACAATAACGAAAGAATAAGTTGCAAATCAAAAAATGTCATTTATCTAATAAACTGTAAGAAATGTGGGATGCAGTATATCGGCGAGACCGGAAGGTCGTTAAAATATCGTATAACAGAACATCTGAGAAGTATTACGGAAAGGAAACATGATTTAGTAGTGGGAGAACACTTCAACAAACTGGGACATTCAATAAGTGACTTTTCAGTAACGAGAATAAAAAAACTATTCAGAGACCAGGGCTATCGCCAAACAGTAGAAGCATACTACATCAACAAATTCGGAACATTGGAACCCCAAGGACTCAATTCACGGGAGAAATAGACTGTAGACTCATCTAAGAATTATTATTTAATAATAATTTTCATTTCAACGTCATATAATATTTAAATTTAACAATCGCCCTTTTTCTTAATATTTTGTTATTACGCGCCCCTTGTTTGACATTTTATTTTACTATATTTTCAAGTGTCCCAAGTTTAATTTTAATTATAATTCAAAACCTTGGATTTATCTGCTTGCGATAGTTTTTTAATTATTATTTTTTTTTTGTCCTACTCGAAATATGATAGATGGTTCATTCATTCATTTATTATTATGAATTATTATTATATTTTAACGCTATTTAAGATCGAAATTTAGCAATAACTTTTAACCTTATTTTATTTTAAAATTGGTTCTCACCAAACTAAGCATTGATTTATGTTTAAATGTTGGTTTACTTCCTCGTGGTTCTCTAAGTGCCCATAATCTTAATTTGAATTACATTTAGTTACCCATCATTTTCGTAAATGCAATAATATATATATATTTTTTAATTACATCTGAAATGAGCTCCACTGATATTATTGGTTCTAATTTTCCCATCATTACTTCTACGGCTAAATGCAAATTGAATGTTTATGCATTGTTACGTCATACTTGATTTGAGATTTCCAATTTATTTATCAAATTTATTTCTTGCCATTGTTGTAAACTGCATGTCTGAGGAAGTCCGACTAGGCTCAGACGAAACGTTACAGAAATACATTTGTGTTAGTGTGCAGCTGGACTCTTTAATTAGATAAAATTCACTGTCTTTGCGTTTTTTTAAGATAATATTACAGGTCACTAATCCTTTATTTTCCGCAGTAAGGCTCTCAAGTGCTGCGTGATGCGCGCTATCTATAAATACTTAAGAGTGTTAATATAAATTATGCAGTGAACAAGTTGTATCTTACTGTTTTCCAGAAGCAATATTTGAAACTGCACTCTTCTTAAAAAATACCCCACCAAACGCTTGCATCATATCTCTTATGGGTGGTTGTTTTCCTCCTCGTTCTGGAGTCAACTGAGATAAGACAAATAAAAGTGTTTTTTGCAGTGGTAAGATTCAGTCGGTTCGTTCGTTCAGTCGGGTTTCCACGAAACTGTTTTTGTTTTTATCTTTTACTTGGGCAATCGCAGCAATACGCATTGCAGCCGGCGTCAAGCGTTGAATTTGGCGTTTCGGAAGTTATGCATTAGATTTATATAAAGCTTGTCATGTTAATGTAGCTTACACAGTGACATGTATACATAAATTTTCTGCTATTAGTTAGTTCGATACAAAAAATAAGCAATGGTTATATACGTATGCAAACAAACTTGTGTGCATATAGTTTCGATGGATGTAAAGTCCAATTCAAGTCTGGAATTACAACCTTATAATGAGCAAGCCATACGACAATAAATATCCACCATCTTAGAACTATTACGCTTATCACATTGTGCGGAGAATTATATTTAGCGCTTGAGACATACTTATGATTTAACTTACCTCTTGCGATATTGCTGCTATAAGATGAGGTTCGAATCCACAGCAACCACCAATATATCTGACTCCGAGTTTCCACGCTTCCCTGGCAAACTCATGAACCTCTATTCTAGTCATAACACGAGGATCTAAAGCTGTAACAGAAATCGAGCATTCTTAACAAAATTGAATTATTTTCATTTGACCTTGGCAATACACGCTCTTTCCTTCATTGCCATGGGGCCAATACCTAACTTGAATGACCACTGAATCATATGTGATGTACGGGAATATGTATGTGTATGTATAGTGGGATTGTACAGTTTATAGAATATATACTTTGGTAAAAGCACGCATGTTACCATTTTATTCTGGTTCTGTCGCCTATACTGAAAACAAAGTATGCGTGCGAAATAATTGAATTCGTATCAATTTTAGATATTCTATACTCAAAATACCAAAAGGAAACTCGGGTAGAGACAGGTATCCCATTTGACTTGTTTCCGTTTCTGGACAATGCATTCCTAATGGCTGACACAACAAATATGGATGTAAGTCTTCTTTCTCTAGTGCTTCCTTAACTCGTTTTATTACTTTCAGACTGGTATTAACATCATAGATGCAATTGTTTCCTGGAATTAAACATTCGAAAAATAGGCTTGCACGTAATTTACAAATTTACGGAATTACGGAATTATTTCGAATTACGCAAGCGAAGTCACGAATTACGTAAAGTCGTAATTATTGGTCGAGCGCTTTCGCGATTGAAACGAGCTCTCTTCAGAGCAGTCAATTCCGTCGATTGTAAAAAATTAAAGTTTAAGTAAAAGAAGTTAGAGTTCCGGTATTCGCAGCCGTTTTTCTCTCTCTTGTTAGGCAGATGGGGAGGGCATAACGCGTCATTTACTAACCTATTATCAACTTATCTAAGATGGCCAATGTACATATTAACCGTAAATAAGGAATAGAATTGTGTCGAGACCGATGGACGCCAACACACCTGGTTTCAACTTCTTCGGGTGAAATGAGTGAAGAATGTAAGAGATCAACTTATAAAACATGGTCTATTTGTAAATGTCGTGATAATTAATGTCGCGCTTATCAAACAGCAAGAGACGGAAGAGAAATTGCGTAATGAACCAACGCAACTTAGTCCTTTCGGCATCGGTAAAGCGATTGAGACGGCAGAGAAACAACATTACGACGGGATTTCCCGTGTTTATTCTGCGCGAAATCCATTTTCTATTACAAAATCTTGATGTTCTGTTACCGGTTTTATCGTTATATATCTGTCCGGACTTGGCATTGCTCAATATGTTTTTCACAATGCCTCGCAAATCGCAATATGTCGGCCATATATGATTACCTGTCTTTACCAAATGCGGCAACTTATTTTGATTTATCGTCGACCTGAATACCACCGGCACTCGACCAAACTTGTGTCAATCTTGGCAAATAGGATTGTCGACTTGAGTTAGAAAAATAAATTAATATTTTCATGAGTGCAAAATAAATGTCACAAAATGCATTGTTTTGCGATATAACTTTGTATTTTCGGAGAAGGCATGTCATATAAGTACGGTATTTTAAATAATGCGCAAATAATTAATATTTGATCTAAATTTATCGTAAATAATGTTATAACATTTAGGCCGCGAAATGATTTAATGTAAAATGAAGCATGGAATTCGGAATATCGTCAATAAGTCGGCATCAATAATTATTATAAAATGCTAACTAAGTAGTAAAGTCGGATATTGTAAAAAACGGTGAAATAACAAGTCTTCGTCGCGAGGCAAGCGAAAGTATAATCAAACGAGAGAATACGCTTGTAGTTGATTAATAAATTAGCAACCCGGAATTTTTATTCAATACGAAAGTCGTATTAATACGTCAATACGATTTTAAAAAAGTGAACTATCGTTTCTTAAATATATTACCAGTGTTGGTAATGATAAAATTGATCGCATAAAATTTGGTGATAAAGTTGATAAAGGAAAATCAAAGCTAATACAAAAGATAAAAATCAGAATAAAATTATTTTGAATTCACTCCTTGATATTTGTCTTTAACATCTGTCTCCGGCGTGTGGTACTGCCGGGAATATGAAAACCAAACTTCGATGTCCCATTCGGAATAGAAGTGGATTAAATTGGTTGGTATGCTAGGTTTAAATGTGTGAAAAAAATATCGCAATTACGGGGTCATTACGTAATCGATTTGGCCGTAATTACGGAATTGATTTTTGTCAATTACGTGCAAGCCTATCGAAAAATATATTAATGTCTGAACTCCGTCCAATGTGGTGCATTTGAACACTTCTAACCTATTATATCTGCTCCTGTTTTTGCCAGTCTTATCGCACATTCTTCAACTGATACTCCGTTAACATCCCCCATCACGCCTAATCTCATTGATAACGCGAACGGTTTCTTTAATTTCTTCATTTCACTGGCACATATTTCAACTTCACGAATGTCGTTAAAAAACTGAATATAAAGAAAATCTGTGTCGAAATCATTAACTAGAAAGTAATGCAATGATCGGAATTAAATGTTTGATAGTTGAATACATTCTTCATACCTAACGTATATCTTTATCACAGTTTATTGCAAAATGGTCAAAATATTTCAAATGTCATGTTGGGAATTCATCTTTATCGCCAGTGGTGATATTCAGGGGTTTGTACAAACGTTTTTGGAATGTCATGATTATCAGGGTTCTTGATTTTTATCGGTCTCAGATCCCATAAAATGAGTATGACATTCACCACAGCTGACAGCTAGCGTTCTATTTGACTTTTCGAATGTTATGTATTAGATTTATGAAAAGCCTGTCATGTTAATGTAACTTACGTAGTGTCATACACACTTTTTTTGGGAGAACCAGTTGCTGGTGAGATAATACAAAACAGTACTCCTAAAATTTTGAATCCAACCACTGCCTGAAACCCTAATATTCAAAATTCTTACTTCACACATAACGAAATCAACATCGTGTTTTCTGTAGACTTCTATCTGCTTGCTAAATTCTCTGCGGACGATTGATTCATCTTTCTTCTGAGCAAAGGCAGGCACTGGAGATATTCCACCACATACAAGACAGCCATTCTCATCTGCGGCTTTTTTCGCTAGTTTGCAAGCCGCGTCATTCAGTTCCACACTCTAAAAGAGAATAAACAAATAAATATGTAATATCACTCCCGAACTATAAAATTATAGGTTCTCAAACGGTGAGGAGTAAGAGGAGCCAGGGCAATTTTTGAGAGGGCGTGAAGCTAATCGAAAATAAAAATATTTGTTAGATTTGATCTTGCCTACCTTATTTTGTATATTAACATTTCTCCATTATTTACGTTCCATCCACGTATTTTCAACATGTTTAATAAATAAAACTCACTTTCGCTCAACTATCTGTTACTCGTAGCTTAATCTAAGATAGTTATTTTTGAAGTGGGGCGCCAAACTTGCAAAATTCCAAAAAGGGAGCACGGCTTAAAAAGTTTGAGAACCACTGCACTAAATAGTGCTATCGTCAAAATTTCATGAATCGCTGTTCTTACAGTGTGCGTGATCTCATTTTTATCTTGAGCATACGTGAGTCTTCCATCACTGGCATAGAAAGTACATGTTTGTACAACATCTGCTCCTGCTCTTACGAATTCACGATGAAGCTGAAGAACTGCATCGGGATATTCCACAGTAGCTTCTGGCGTCCATGGTCCCGCTTTTACATAGCCTCGCTTTTCCAATGTAAAAATCATACTACCATCGCCGATTACTGGACCTTCGGCGAGGCGTTCCAGTATTCCCTTCTTCTCACTCATTGTTAAACGGAATAATATCAATATAAATTAGTAAATAATATACAATAACCAATGGTATCTTGAATTCGAAAGAAACATAAATATTCACAACACCCTGTACCGCTTTGCACCCCATCTCAGTAAGCGACAGTTATCTTGAATAATAAAGTTACCAAGTGGACCAAGACGTAAAGTGGGGAAAAAATCAGAATTCGAGACTTTGCGAAATTCGACTCCAATATAAGCAAAAATCGACGCAGTTTAAGATATAGCGTGGGCCAAGTTAGGATACAGTTTTTGAATTAATTAATTATTATTAACTGCTACCGTGATTTTGGCTTATGCTGTATATATATGTCTATTCAATGATAATCCCAAATGTGGTGGATTCACTTTGACTTAATGAACAGAATTAAGTAACGCTAGTTCCATTCCGTTTATGATCACCGTTTCGCCATGAGGTATAACCAGTGGTGGGATTCAGGGGCTTAACGCGAACCCGTTGTTGGAATATTGTGATGTTCTTGTTTTATGTTTTAGCTATGCGTTTCATTGCAAAGCAGCTCCCATAGTCACATACATACATTTGTAAGAAAAAATATATATTTTTTGTGTTCGTAGCTAAACTGTTATTGTTGTATTTTCTGAGGATATGCCTTCTATTTCTGAATGATACAAACACACTGCTCGGTTTCCGAATACATGTATTGATATCATATATATTTCCGAATGCAAAGTGAACAGTTTAGAACTGGCTACAGCTGGACAAAATCAAATTTTCACTGCAAACATGAGTTGCAGCTTCCTAATAGTTGGTCATTTTATAAACTTGTTTTGGAGTCCCGAGGGCATGACACTGTAACGCCGTCGTACTCAGAACGACGGGTCGTCTAATTTTCGTGTCCTGTGACTAAAGATTAGTTATAATTTCAATGTCCAAATCAAATTAGGATGAATTGAAACACGTCCAACTGTTACTGTTAACTGCAGTTAGTTAAAATAATCCAAATATGCTATACGAGCATTTTATGAAACGACGGAACCTGTTGTTAGTGAGTTAGATACAAAATGGGGATCCTTTATACAAAGCCCCTGCCACTGATGCAAAAAATTGAGAATTGGAAGAACACCTAGCCACGTTTTGAAATAAATAATTAGCAATTATCCATTTAAGGTTGGGAATGATTTGAAAATTCAAATTTCCAGCACAATCTGCATACATAAACGTAACTGGATAAAAACTAATTTTCGATTTTGAGCGTGGGTGAGGGCTTTGTATGGAAGATCGCAAAATATAACCCGTTCTTAAAATTTTGAATCTTACCACTGAGAATCACCTACTGTTATGCGCTAGCACTCATCCCTTCAAACGTTGTTGCAAACCATTTCCTTTATCGAAACTAAATATACAGCAATTATTATACATTGTAAGGCTTCCGTTGATGTGACTCAGTCGTTGAAATCGAAATATCATTGCAAACAGTCATTTCCTCTTGTCAGTAAATCAAACAATTTCGGCGTGCTCGTCTCAATTTGAGCTCAGCTTACAGGGATTACATCCAAGAAGGATTTTTGGGTAGCAGTGAATCTGTATTTAATATTCTAAAAACGACTTGAGAGAAAACGACTTTATTTTAAATTACTTAGAGAACTTGAGTTTGTCTATATAGTTTGAACGTACGTAAAATCACAAATTACAAAAAAAATTACATCCCTTTCGAAAAGGTTCCTCAGCAATATGTTATTGACCGTTAAAGCACGTAAGGCGACAAAAGTACGATCGGTTTCTGTCTTTAACAACCGAGAATTTGGGTAAACTCTGATACTCTCATTATCTGCTAACGCGTTTCCAGCTAATTTCAATAAACATTTACTTTTCTTTCTTCTGCACCTATTACTGTATCTTGCTCTAAGTAAACGGGTACTTTAAAACTAAATAAATGCCACAGGCACAGCGACACAAGAAACACAGCGATTCCCGTTTTCTCCTCTTGTTTACAGACCTAGCTATTTGAACGTACGCCGACCTCCCGTGCCGCGCCGACCTCATGTGCACCGCGACTGCGCAGTAAATAACACTTATAAATAGACCTTATTCATTAAAAACCCATCCTACGCGCAAAAAGAAAAGTTATGCAAAAATTTTTTTTTAACATTAGCTCTTATGGGGAATGTAATCACCAGAGCAAAAATTTGCATTTTTTGTAATTTTCTAGATATCTTTCATTGTATACATACGTGAGCAGTTTTGAGGATAGAATATTTCTTACATCTATTTGGATATTTTTATCATGATAAACACGTTCAAGCTTTTTGATAATCGTTCATTAAAATTTTAATGAGCGCGGTGTTTCCGATGACGTCATTCTTACTAGACCATGAGATTCTGCCAACGCGCCGTGCTCTGTGGGATATGCGCTGCAAATGCGGCCCTAATGTCGCTTCGGGTCCGTGTCCGTCCGGTACTGGAAGCGTTTAACATTGACAATCTATAACCCGTACCATTTCTATCACGTTTGTTTAGTGGTTTTACTAAGTTACGGAATATTTTTGGATTCGGTTAAAAATGTAGTCCATTAATAAACACTGCTTATTCAAACTGCTCGGGTATTCAAACATGTGATGATTGAAGTGAGAAAAAAATTTGAAGTCACGTTCAGGATATTACATTAAACAACAATGGAAAAGGTACATTGGAATCAGTCAAGCTTCAAATGCTAATGACATTAATGAAAAGAATATGCGAAATGAAGACTGAAGTTTCCATCTGAGACATTGGAAGACGCTAAAACCTTATAGACTTGATAGTGTGGAGCGCTCTCTCACAATGCAGTAATAATGGGACATATATTTATAATATCATTATACAGGCTTTAAGTTGAACAATATGTTTATTAAAAATATCTATCTTTGCTAATAAATGCTGAAAACCATTTGTTTCAATCTGCTGAGTGATTAGGGCCAGAAATTTGCTGTAGGGACTATCACCAGGGCTGGATTTACCAATAGGCTAGGCAGGCTGAAACCTAGAGCCTCGAAATTCGGTTTCAAAGTTTGTAATTTTTTTGAAAACTTGACAAGTTTAAACTCTACATGCTTACATATTTTTAAATTTTAAGCAATTAAATGTGGTGTTGTTTAGAGAGAAATTCTGAGCTCAAAAATAGGAAGGGGCCTCTCATGGTCTAAATCCAGCCCTGAACATCACCAATTTTGGGATAGGTACCGTACATGGTAGGTAATGTCAACATATGAACTAAGTTAGGCCATTGGATTTTGAAAGGTGTACAAATGTACATGGAATTCATGAAATATATAACATCCAGTTAAAACCAAAATAGCTCTTTCGTTGAACGCCAGTTGTGGTCCCGAAACCGGTATTCCAGTATTCTGTTATCACAAGCAGTCGGAGCGCATATCCCACAGAGCACGGCGCGTTGGCAGAATCTCATGGTCTAGTGAGAATGACGTCATCGGAAACACCGCGCTCATTAAAATTTCAATGAACGATTATTAAAAATCTTGACCATGTTTATCATAATAAAAATATCAAAAAAGATGTAAAAAATATTCTATCCTCAAAACTGCTCACGTATACAATGAAAGATATCTAGAAAATTACATAAAATGCAAATTTCTGCTCTGGTGATCACATTCCTCATAAAAGCTAATGTTAAAAAAAAATTTTTACATTACTTTTCTTTTTGCGCGTAGGATGGGTTTTTAATGAATAAGGTCTATTGAATCCCTGTCGTTCCGGCCGACTGCACTCGCTCATTAATCCATGTTTTATATTTGTCGCAAATACTTTCTGGATTTCTTGTTGTCAAGTCTTCTGTCCGCTGTCGGATTTTTGCGATGATTCAAGACGAATATAAAATAGACAGCGTTTTGGATATTCGCCAAAACGGCACTCCTGAATTCCACCAAATAAGAAATGGTACATTGAAATCAAATAAACATGAATATATACGCAAAAGATTACACTGCATTGCATGTCCAACGTCGCAAGCGACAGTTTATATGAATGATAGAGTAAACAGAATTGTCGTGAAGTGAGTGAAAAAAATTGATGCACGAGAACTGTTTAAATTCGTGCCTGTGAATAAAAATATTCCATTTCCGCCTTTCTCACCATAATTAATAGTTAAACATAAAATCGAACTTTAATTTCTATTTCAAAAACTTCGGATTTTAGGGATTGTAATAATAACTGAGAATCGCCTTGTATGCAAACGACATGTACCAATCTTCACAAACTGCGACTGGGAGCCGTGCGGAATAATCCACCCACTTGCCCTAGCCTAGGACTTTTTAATTTAGAGCAGAATAATGATACTCGTAGAAAGTCGTATTTTTGTATGTAACGGGTTAGATCCCATTTTTTTCGTAAACTCATTTATAATGTTATTTTCCTTTTTTCTATATATTACACTGTTAGGCTCAATCGCTTCTCAATAACCAGCATTGGTTTTTCGCGCGTCCCTTCGCCAAGAAATGCCGTTTTAATGTTTCTTAATTAATTATATCAGGGGTTCCCAAACCGCGGCCCGCGGGCCAATTACGGCCCGCGAGACGATTTCAAATGGCCCGCCGAACATTAGTGAAACTATAACCGTGAATAAATACTAACACGTTCAATTAACCGGTAACAATTCAATTATACCGGTATCTTAACTTACGTACCGGTATTAGGATTGCGTACGGCAGTCTTTTAGGTATCACGTATCAGCCCTATATTAAGGAAGCTTGAAGATGTCACAAAAACGAAAACTAGACACTGAAAACAGGCGTTTTTTGGATAAATGGCAGCGTTCTTATTTCTTTATTGAAAAGAATCAAACTTCAGCGATTTGTCTTCTTTGCCAACAAACTATTCTTGTTCTATTCCTGTTAAACTACGGTCGAGACGGACAGATAATCACTTAGAGTGCGGTATTGCAAATACAATGTAACAAATTGGAGCCACGTTTTGAACATCAGTTTTCGAGCAAACCCCAATTACACGTATCTACAAAAATGCAAGTAAATTATGTTGGTTATTCGTTTTTTTTTTTAATATTCATATACATTGAGACGTTTTTTTGTTTAACAAAAAAAACATGAGTCGCTATCTGGGGTCATCTCTTATCTCTGGGGTCAATCTCAACCTCAGTGTCAGTGGATAATATTGGTAGTACAACTGCAAAAACCATACTCACCAGAGATAACAGTGTTTTATAAACTTCAACTACAAATTTAATTAGATAACAAACCTTGGGTGTCGCTGCCTGATAATCAGTTCCCAGCGATTTCCCTTCCCAGTAAAATGTGTGTCAATTTTACTTTTTTCATAATTTCGTTTGCTATTTTTACTGGATGGAAAAAATACACTTGACCATGATATGAGTAGACATTTATACGAAGCCGTACTCCAGATGAGCAAGTAACCTCATTAGTCGCTATCAGTTACAAATACTTTTTGAAAGTCGTGCTTGTTATTCCTCGGGTATTCTATCACCTAACTATCATACTTATGAATTTTATTACATAACAAACTGCATACTGGGTGTATCTAGAATCAATCTTGCAGCCTATTTTGGTGCCTATTGCGGCACCCCTAGCCTTTTCTAACCCCAGCCTTTACGTCGGGCTTTTTTGGTCATCTCGCTTTACTGGCCCGCGAGTATCCTCGCCTTGAAATTTTGGCCCGCGGCCAAATAAGTTTGGGAACCCCTGAATTATATTGTTCGTACAAAGTGTGTTTTCAGTATAGTGAAAATATAAATTGTTGATCAAGTGACAATTCTGCGATGTCATGTATGGCAACTTCAGCCTTCTATTAACCTTTCACTGATATTCTCCATTTCTGATGTGATATTTTCATACAACGTTTTATATGAGAAGTTGATGACGTATTTCCCGCCCTCGCTCAAGAGTTTCTTGTCTTTGATTTATCGTTTTTGATTCTGGTAATTTGGATTTCAAACGTATACTTACTTGCATTGAGGTTTTGAGTGTATTTCATAATCTGCTATTTGGAACAATTTAATTCGATCATGCAACTTTATAATGAACATTTGGCAAGTACAGCCATTGTGTGCTTATTTCACTTCTGTAGAAGTCAGTTGGGTTTATTTCGCCAAGTACGATCTGAATAGCACTGGAATAGAACATACTTTCTCCATAACGAAAAACAAATAGGATAATGGAAATCAAATTTGTATGTATATTGTGTAATACTGAATAAATTGAACAAGAATGCCGAATAGAAACGTCGATAATTTTTATGGCGCCTCAGTGTTGTATTGATCATGACGTAGGCTACATTTAAATGTAAATCGTCTCATGTTTGTAATCGACAAAAAAAACACTATATTTAGTACTAAATGCGATGGACACAAGTGCTGTACATATAAATGGGATCCCAAAATTCCGGGCTTTAAAACCTATTTTTCTTGTCTTGATTCTAAGACTGACATGGGCAAACTACGGCCCGCGGGCCAAATCCGGTCTGTTGGGTAATTCAATCCGGCCCGCCTGATGCTGCTACAAACAAACTAGAACGAGTTCGATGTTTCAGCTAAAAAATAGTTAAAGGAGTTTGTTGAGATTTGCGATTGATTGATATTGTTTTCCACTTTCACTTTCGAAACACTGTGAATATTGTTCATAATTGTAACTTTCACGTCACACTTACATGGCCCGCCAGACTAGGAGAGCATTTTTTTGGCCCCTGCTTCAAAAACCTTGCCCACCTTTGTTCTAAGACAATTTCAGTATGTCGAAGAAGAAACTTTCGCTTTCAACAAAGAACTGCCTGCTCCATCGCATACTTCTTACCGTGAAATATGGAGCATTTCGGAAGAACGGGTTCTATTCAGTATCAAACTCAGTCACAACAGATTCCCTAATTTCAGAAAATGCGTGAAAAATTGTATGTTACTACGTAAGCTGGATCGACCGAAAACGCTCTGCATAAATCTAACTCACACCTTTCGAAACGCCAAATATAACGCTAGTCCACAGCTGCGGTGTATCCCATTTGCTGCTGTCGTCTAACGTCAAAACAAAAAACAAGAACGAGTTCGCTGATATCACAACATTCCAAGAACGGGTTCACTAACCCTATCGTGAGCAATAGCAACCTTTTTTTTATTTGCGATTTCCACTTGAAGAACTAAGATTCAAATAATATGCAAACTAAGGTTATCATGGTTGCTTCTTACCTATTAAAACCGTTTTTTCTAAGTTGATACTTAGTGTCTTAGAATACAAGTTTAAATGTCAATATTTTTCTAAACGTTATAAACGTTGAAGTTTACTATACTATGGGATGTCGAGGTCCTTTGGGAGCCCAAAGAGTACGTTATTTGTGCAACAACGCATGGAACCAATAAGCTTTGCTATTCACGACGTGAGTAACGACCAACAGTTTCGACAGATGAAACCTATTAATTAATCAATTTTGTTCGACATAAAGTGATCTTCCAAGATGATTTATTTTGGTGGAGATTTTGTACAAAAGATTACAAACTAAACCTCGCCAGACGAAACGTCACATAAATACAAGACTTTTTGATTTAATGAGGTATGGATATGTCGTCTTTTAATGATAAAGTTAGGGTTTGTAAAAACCAGACTTGATTTCTTATGAATTATGCATGTTGAGCATAGAAAAGGCAAAGAATGCCCCGACTTGGTATTGAATCAGGGGCCTTCAGAACTTCAGTCTCTGTCAGATTATCATATTGTATGGACATCAAGTTGATTGATTTGTAGTCAACGCCTTGACATCTTGTCCATGTCTATGTTTTTTTTTTCAATATATCAATCAGTCAGTCGGCATCACAGTTAATGAATGATGTAACTTTCTGTAATTTTATGAATCCAACAGAATTGAGGGCTTGGACGGCGTTTACAAATGTAGTAAAATTCTTTTTGGGAAAAACGAAGGCGCCCAACTACAAAGAGCTTGTTGAAACACTACTTACAAATCTTCGTCAACTGGCTGCAAATATGAGCATCAAGTTACATTTTTTGCACAGCCATCTTGCCCGTTTTCCAGAAAATCTAGGTGATGTGAGCGATGAGCAAGGGGAGCGCTTCCATTAAGATATCAGTGACATGGAAGTTCGCTATCAAGGTCGTTGGGATTCCACCATGCTTGCAGACTACTGTTGGTCTATCAAGCGCGATTGATGCCGAGGCCCCCCATTCTAGAAAATCAGGAAAACGTCAAATTTATAGCCGATGACATCTATTAGTAAGCATTAATTACAAGTTCCAGCTTTAATTGGATATTTTGGTGAGATTCTATGGATATGTTCAATAAAATTACAGAAAAAATGTTGTTTCTATCATTTGCCTATCTTTATTGTAGCTATCGGCATCCTGCAGAGAGGGATATACCATAGAGGAAAAACTAGACCTGATAGAGAAAAGTAACAGCATTTCTGAAATCAGCCCCCCAAATGTGCTAAAAACGTTTAAAACATCTTAGACACCATGGAAAAAATTTTTTTTGTTGGCTAGTGTTATCATTTATTTCCTCTCGTGCTGATGGAAATAGGCAACATTATAAAATTTGTGCTTAACAAGAACTTGGAAATTTAACTCTCATCCAGGGCCTATGTACAACTGCTATATACATTTGGTTTTCTCCAATAGCTTCGCAGCGGAAACGGCTTTGAAACCTGATACTGTATAATAAAAATGGGAAACGTTGACAAACTAGAGTCTAGAACTCTAGACTACAGGGTGTTTTCCGCGCTGACAAAATGCACAATTAACTTACTGACTTAGCAATAAAATCTTCCAAATCTTTATTTTTGGTCACTATTGTGTGAAAGAAAACTGCCTCATCCACAGCATGGAAATGTTTTTTTAAAAGGTAATGCCGATCGAGCTAAACTGAAGTATATCTCACCAAAAATATCAACCCCGCAAAAGAGTTTCATTGCTTCGATAATTTTACTTGAATAATACTCAATATGATTTTAGAAAATAAAATCAAACAAATATATGTTAATTAATCTATAAAATAAATATACTTAGATAATAGTAGCAATGTTATTGATTTAATCATTAACATAAACCTGACGTACTAAAATTAAAAGCTGAAAATTTCTCTTCTGTGTCTTCAATGTGTTACAATATTACAATGTAGGTGATGTGTTACAATATAGAATCAACAGTTTTTGTCAGATAAAGTATATTGTAAAGTATATATGTCAAATTACCGTAGGTATAGAGGAAACTCTACATTCACTATCTCCAACTGGATTGTCGTTTATGAAGAAAATTTTGCTTTGTAATTGCTATTATATTACTGATATTCTCCATTTATATTATCAATATTGTTGTTAATATTATACTTATTTACGCGCACATTATAAAGCGGGGTGCGACTTGCGAACACCATTGGATAATGGTCCATGGAAGACTGAATTAACAACATATTGTTTATGTATATTGAAGAGACAATAAAGAGTTTTATAATAGGCGAAGAACAGAATTCAAAGAATCGCTTCTTTAACTACACATCGTCTTTTTACATATGACCCAATAATGGTTTCAGTTTGGTGAATAAAATTTTTAGTGTTAGAAAAAGTAAAAATACGACGAATAAAGATAACGATAAATACAACAATGTGTAATAAAGCATAAACGCGAATACAAAACATTTTACAATAGCATATTGTCGAAAAGATGAAAATAAATGATGTTTATTTCACTATATAAGTACAACATATAAAACAATATGTATTTGAGTGATTAAATGTGCATTCTATGTGCAGACCTATTTTTTCAATCATTGTAGGCTAGTTTATGGTTGATTACAGCAGAGCAAAATTCGTAATTTCAACCCAGGTCGGGGAACCTTTTTCAAGGAAATTTCTTGAGAAAAAGACAGTGATATTTTCACGTAAATTGTGCGCAAAGTTAAAAAACGGAAAATAACATGATAAATATCATAATTCTTTTCCCATGAACATCAAAACGGGAGGCAATCTCAGATACAAATAATTTTCTTTGTATTCATCCGAAAATAGTAGTATTATGATAAGAATGACTGTGAGGCCTATCTGTGATTGTAGCTTGAACTAATGTTACGTGATGAGCAAAGGGAAACAACCTAAGTTTCCATTCATCAAAGGAAGCTATGACACAGATAGTAGCAACTAGGATTACAAATTCCAGTACAAGCGAATCAAAAATTATCAAGTGAAAGTACGAATTGTATATAATAGAAATTATATGACCAACCATCATTGCAAAGATCGTTATTGTTGTAGCGATCGAAGACCGTTTGATTCGTTCATTAATCTTCTGTGGAAAGACAGAGAGTTTCCTCTATAATCTTCTGCGGAAGAAAATTTTGCTTTGCAATTGCTATCATATTACTGATATTCTCCATTTATATTATTAATATTGTTGTTAATATTATACTTATTTACGCACACATTATAAAGCGGGGTGCGACTTGCGAACACCATTGGATAATGGTCCATGGAAGACTGAATTAACAACATATTGTTTATGTATATTGAAGAGACAATAAAGAGTTTTATAATAGGCGAAGGACAGAATTCAAAGAATCGCTGCTTTAACTACACGTCGTCTTTTTACATATGACCCAATAATGGTTTCAGTTTGGTGAATAAAATTTTTAGTCTTAGAAAAAGTAAAAATACGACGAATAAAGATAACGATAAATACAACAATGTGTAATAAAGCATAAAAGCGAATACAAAACATTTTACAATAGCATATTGTCGAAAAGATGAAAATAAATGATGTTTATTTCACTATATAAGTACAACATATAAAACAATATGTATTTGAGTGAATAAATGTGCATTCTATGTGTAGACCTATTTTTTCAATCATTGTAGGCTAGTTTATGGTTGATTACAGCAGAGCAAAATTCGTAATTTCAACCCAGGTCGGGGAACCTTTTTCAAGGAAATTTCTTGAGAAAAAGACAGTGATATTTTCACGTAAATTGTGCGCAAAGTTAAAAAACGGAAAATAACATGATAATTATCATAATTCTTTTCCCATGAACATCAAAACGGGAGGCAATCTCAGATACAAATAATTTTCTTTGTATTCATCCGAAAATAGTAGTATTATGATAAGAATGACTGTGAGGCCTATCTGTGATTGTAGCTTGAACTAATGTGACGTGATGAGCAAAGGGAAACAACCTCAGTTTCCATTCATCAAAGGAAGCTATGACACAGATAGTAGCAACTAGGATTACGAATTCCAGTACAAGCGAATCAAAAATTATCAAGTGAAAGTACGAATTGTATATAATAGAAATTATAGGACCAACCATCATTGCAAAGATTGTTATTGTTGTAGCGATCGAAGACCGTTTAATTCGTTTCATTAATCTTCTGGCATTTGCATTATGATTTTTTCTTAATTTCCATAATGGATAAACAAAAAGAAAAAGTAAAGAAAATTGAAAAATTACCAAAGCAATATACGCAGATGCTGTTTGCAACAGCAGTAGGGGGTGGGATCTTCCTTTTCAGATGAGCAACCTATTGAAGTATTGCTATATTCGCCACGAAAAATCATTATGAGTAAACCCGTAACCAAACCAATGATCATAAAAGCTAAGACGAGCCAACTCAATACTTGCATAAATTTGTTGCATATTGGCTTCAGTAAATCTGACTTGTAAAATTGTCTCTGACGCAACCAGTAAATCAGATACGGTATAAGAAGACAAATAGCGACTAAAAAATGCTTCACATATCGCAGGTTTCTGCATATATCCACTTCATGGTCATAAGAATAACGTAATTCAACAGCATCAAGACATCCCACAGCAACGAACAAAATCAGAAACGTAATGATTAAGTATCTCATGACGTCACTAGCTATATGTTTTCTCATTCTTGAATATCGATTCTTCTGACGAATTCGGTTCATGATTTCCCTGTTTTCTTTTTGTACTTTCCATTCATAAATCAAAGTTACGACCAAGACGTAGAAGTTTATGAAAAATGTAAAAGATGCAAAAACTACAGCCGCCAGCCATTGTCTATATACTTCGTCTTTATAGAATGAAATGGTATCATTGGCCGAAATATTTTGACTTATTTGTAGAAACCACATCTTGTAGAAACTATTAGAAATCTTATTAGTAATTGTTTTTAAAAACAACAAATAGGTTAAAATTAGTGCATTGCCATTAGTACATTGAAAGTACATCGAATTTTAGCCTCAGAAAACCATGCATATAAAGATTTTTGTTTTATATATAATGAATATTGTGATTTCATATGACGGTATATGGGGATAATTTTGTTATTTTAGTAAATTTTACTGTTGTTTTTGAAATTAATAATATTAAACGGAGTCAAACAAGTTAATATATAGATCAGGAGTGGCAAAGCTGCTTAAAGCAGAGTAAATTTTCTTCATTTAGTTAAGATTTATTCGAATCATACAATTCAGATCTAAGTCCTGTCTAATTTTTAGTCGTTAGTGTTGAAAATTCCTCTGAAAACCTCGTCAAGTATCCATATTATCTAAACAGGGAAATATAAATATTCTCGAACCATCAATGTTACATTACTGCTCAAACTTCAGTATCTAATTTACAATTTACTCCAAGTCCGACTCTTCGCTCGCTTGGAATTAGAAATAATACGGCATTTTGATGTCAGTGCTACCATTGCGAATACAATTTATCACACTACTCTTGGAGTGAGACAATAACTTCCCCGTATTGCAGATGTTTTTGTGGGATCGTTTGTCAGTCAAGACACTCGATATTCTGCAGTTTCATTTCTAAACCTTGGCTGAACCTTTTATTTGTTTCGTAAAAATCTGATCTATCAGGTTTGCCCAAATCAAATATTGTATGTGTATGACGTATTTTGCGCGTATACAGTACTATATTTTTCCTGATTTGAAACACATTGCGATGCATGAAACTGGTCAAGGTAATTTTTGGGACATTTTAAAATTCACTCAACATCAGACGCGATCGACTACTTGAGACGTGGCACGCTACCGGTTGATGTTTGCCACCCTTGATATAGACTATTCTAAATTATAAATCGTCATAACTTGTTTTTTACTGGACATAATCGAGTTAAATAGTCCCGAACTATTTCACAACTAATACCTAGTTCTAGTAATATTTATCCCAGTTCCACGCGTAATTAAGACATTTTTATGTATTATTATTTAGTTTTTAGTACATAAACTATGGCCATTGTTCACTAGTTGATTGTCGTATCGTACGTTGGAGTTGAAAGTTAAGAATTGTCTCGTTATGGTTCTGAGTATAGTTCTAATTCGACAGCTTCGAATTCGAAAGCTTTTTCCTCCCCAACAACAAACAAACAACAACAAGTCCATATTTACTTTCTTACCAATAGGCATGCATTATGAGAAATTTTCTTCTACGTTTTCAAGGGCATGTGTCTACTTTCAACTTCATCTAAAACTCCTGGATTAAATTCGGTAAAATTCCTCATTCTCATTTTTGTGGACAAAATATAAGTTTTCTCATTTTACAAATATTCTGATAAACACTTTCGGCCCTGTCCGATTTAGCGACAAGCAAAAATTTCTGACGTTATCCCACCATTCGGTATAGATTTCATGAAATTACTGATAATATGCTACCACCTTTCCACCAATTACCATATATAACGTTGCCGTTCAATTGACAAGAACAATGGAATGCAAACTCCAGAGTCAGAATTTTTTAAATACCATCCATTGACACCCTTGAGCACTGCGTCACAATCAGGAAGCGTTATAGTAAATTTGCTGAAGTGCTTCCTATTGTCATTGCAACGTACGAAAGAAGCGTTACTGCTCAATTGACTGACTGACGTAGCAATAAAATCTTCCAAATATTTATTTTTGGTCACTCTTGAGTAAATGAAGACGGCCTCACCAACATCATGGAAATGGTTTTTCAAAAGATAATGCCGATCGAGCTAAACTGAAGTGTATCCCACCAGCAATACCAACCCCATGACAGAATTTCAATGCTCTGAGAATTTTTTTTGAATACTTTGAAACGCATTATATACTCAACACGATTTAAACAAATATTATCAAACAAAAATATGTAAACACGGTAATAAGTGCTGTACAGTGTACAAAACTGCTATGCGTAAAAAAAACACATGGTTATTCTTTGAGTAGCAAATTTTTGTTCCTTTGATAAGATCGTAAAAAGGAAACTTTCACAGATTAGAATTTAAATTCAATTTAATTTTTTTTTTTTTTTGAAGATTTACGCATTCGAGTTGCCACTTGCCACCAATCCTAATAACCAGTATAACTAACCAAAGATTTCTACATCTTTTCACGACCCATTACGATTCCTTTTGCGACCCACCGGCCACCAGTGGGTCGCGACCCATAGTTTGTCTCATAGTTTGTCGCTGTCTATGTCAAATTATGTATCGAGGAAACTTTACACCCACCTTTCCCGAGTAAAATTTTGTCATTTTTGGAAGAAAATTTTACTTTGTAATTGCTATCATATTACTAATATTCTTCATTTATATTATTATTTATTATTATTATCAATTCTAAACCACGTTGGACTAAACTCTACAACCACCTTTCCTAACAGGGTTACTGATATTCTTTATTTATATTATTATTATTGTTGGTAGTATAATGCTTATTTACGCACACATTTTAAACTACTTGCACTAAACAAAATCGGAATTGCGACTTGGAAAAAGGGCAATAAAAGTTTTAAAATAGATAAGTCAAATTCAAAGAATCACTGCTTTACACACGCGTAGATTGATGAATTAAATTCTTAGTCTTGGAAAAATCAAAAATACAACGAATAAAGATAGCGATAAATAATAAGTACATGATAAACCTACATATTATAAACTACAACAGAGTGTAATAAAGAATGAAAGCGAATCAATATAAATACGAAAATTAATGAATAGTATATTGTCAAAAGGATGAATATAAATGATACTTAATTTTACTATATAAGCATACAGCATGTAAAACAATATATGAGTAATTAAATGAGCATTCGCGTGAGACTTATTTTTTCGCTGTTTGTAGTTTTTAGCTAAGTAAAGCAAAGTAAAATAGTAATTTCAAAATAGTCACGAGAACCGCTGTTTTAATTTAATGAGTATAATAGACACAATGCAATTGTGCAAAAAGTTAGAAAAAATCGGATAATAGATTTTCCTATTTGAATCACAGGGTAAGGCAGACAATTAGTATTTTATGTATTCATCCGAAAATAGTAGTATATATTATGATAAGAATGACTGTGAGGCCTATCTGTGATTGTAGCTTGAACTAATGTTACGTGATGAGCAAAGGGAAACAACCTAAGTTTCCATTCATCGAAGGAAGCTATGACACAGATAGTAGCAACTAGGATTACGGATTCCAGTACAAGCGAATCAAAAACTATCAAGTGAAAGTACGAATTGTATATAAAAGAAACTATAGGACTAATGATCATTGCAAAGATCGTTATTGCAGTAGCAATCGAGGACCGTTTAATTCGTTTCATTAATTTTCTGGAACTCGCATTATGATTTTTTCTTAATTTCCATAAAGAATAAACAAAGAGAAAAAGTGAAATAAATTGAAAAATTGCCATAGCAATATATGCAAATGCTGATTGCAAAAGCACAATGGCCAACATAATGTTCGCTTAAATTTGTTGCATAGTGGCTTCAGTAAATCTGATCTGTAAAATTGTCTCTGACACATCCAGTAAATCAGGTACGGTACAAAAAGACAAATGGCCACTAAAACATACTTCACATATCGCAGGATTCTGCACAGATCCACTTCATTGTCATAAGAATAACGTAATTCAATAGCATCAAGGCATCCGACAGCAACGAACAAAATCAGAAACGTTATGATTAAGTATCTCATGACGTCACTAGCGATATGTTTTCTCATTCTTGAATATCGATACTCCTGACGAATTCGGTTAATGATTTCTCTGTTTTCCCTCTGTACTTTCCATTCATAAATCAAAGTAACGACCAAGACATGGAAGTTTAAGAAAAACGTGAAGGCTGCAAAAATCACAGCCACGAGCCATTCTCTAAATACTTCGTTTTTGCTGTGAAATGAATCTGTATCATTGGCCGAAACATTTTGGCTTTTTTGTAGAAACCACATATTATAGAAACTCCGGAACGTTGAAGCAATGAAAATTTAGTTACAATGCTTTTTAAAAACAAAATAGGTTAAAATGAGTGCACCCACATTTTGCATAAAAAGGAGCGTTTATACTTATATTTATTTTGCACCATGACTGTTATACAAACAATATATTTGTCGAGTTAAATTTTTTCATACATGTTATTTAAATAATTTGCAATTTGAACCGGCTTCTGTCGCTTGTGCGGATAACGTTGTATCGATCGTTTACCGTAGAACGTTCGGCCAAATGTTTGGGCCATCTTTGCAAAAAATCAGGAAATTGATTTTAATTATTGTTGTGATTTTCATACAAAGTTACCAATACTAAAGGTTGAGGTTGCGTGAAACTAACTACCTTTCCTTGCTCACCATGCCTTTTCGCAGGTGGATCCGTTTGCGTATTTCGCAAGGATACTGTAGCAAGAGTGTAAATGGCTATTCTATTCAATTCAAGAGTCTTGCTGCACACGAACACAAATATATTTCTGTAACGTTTCGTCCTGACCGAGGTCAGACTTCTTCAGACAATCTTCTTCACAGTTGTAAAATGCTTGTCTAAAGAAGTCTGACCTCGGTCGGACGAAACGTTACAGAAATATATTTGTGTTCGTGTGCAGCAAGACTCTTGAATTGAATAGAAAAGTTAACAATTATAGAAAATATTTCCAATGTTTCCAAGTGCATGTATCGACTTTATGCATTATCTAAATCTCATTGACCAATTTCCGTAAAATTTGTAAAATAGGCCGAGTCAGGAAAAAAAGCAACTAGTCTACAGGCTCATTCTCGTAGACAAAATAAATGTTTACTCTTCTTAAAAATACTAATAAACAATGTATGTCTTGTGCTATCGATTTCTGCTTCAACAACGATCACAACCACACTTTTTTCACCATGCCCATATTTGGTATAGTTTTCTGGAAAATATCCTCAAAGCACTATTACGTCTTTTCAAGTTAGTATAACGTTACCGTACCATTCAGTTGATCGATTGACAAGAACAACGGAAACTTCTGACCCAGAGATTTTTCAATAGATCTATTGACACCCTTGAGCACTGTGTTACAATCAGGAAGCGTTATGGGAAAACTGCAAATGTGAAATTTAAAATAAACGTAGAAAATACCGGCATTTTACCATATGACTTTAAACTACGGAAGGTCAATTTCTGGTAATCAATATGTCGAAACTATATGTCACTATCAAGTAGAAATAATTACCGAGTATTTACAGCTATTGTTAACAGTTTAACAGAAATATTCTCCCATACTTCGCTATTGCAAAAAGTTTTATGATTTTTTAAGGGTTTATTGCAACGGAACTGCAGCTCCTTGGAAGACACAATATAATCGTGCTACGTGAAACACGGAAGTGTTTTGGCGGTACCGATGCATTAAAAGGTAACGTAGACTACTCTTTCGCTTTGGTCTTCGTGTCCATGTATTTGAGCACCACTCTTTTGTTTAATTTCAGATCACATGGAACACTGGTCTCACGTTAAATAAAATTACTTTTCTCTATAGGGTACCAGATTCTCAAGTAATCAGGGTCCCTGAAAGGCATGAACCGGCCCTGTAAAAGACCAAACATCTGATCACGTTTATATTCGATTTTTTGATCAACCCAGAAGTTGGAATTTATAACAGCGTCACTTCCGTTTATTGATTAGACGCACTACACCTGCTGAGTAAGATAATTACCAATATAGTAAGGAATTTTTGTTTTGTTTTTTCTTGCTAGAATAGTTGTCTTGGTAGGATAGAATAGTAGAAGTAGAATTCACTATAGGACTAAATAAAAAATATTACATAGGCATGGAGTTTATTTACTTCTGTCCCTAATAAAGCATTAAGTTAAAAAAGCTTTAACCATTTATTTACAATCTAAATATTAAAATGACAGTTGATAGTCGTCTAATTGAGTCTAGTTTAGATCAGTCTGTTGGGTTTTGTTTAGTTAGCCGCATGAAATACTGTTTTTTGCACTGTAAATAAGCTATTAAAAAAAGGGTTCTTCCAAAGTGTGTCTACCAGGTTAGAGTCAGGCCATAATTTTATTTCAATTTTCCTTATTTTAGTTCTATTACGAGTTTGGGGACTATCTGTATTAGCCAAGTAAATTCCGTATTGGTACACACTTCTCTGGTTCTACACTTCTGGAGCACCTAAAATAGGAAACTTTGCAAAGGGCTTTGATTCTAAAAAGACTTATATGAATAAAATATCAATGGTGACAATGTCATGTCCCCTTTCCAAAAATGAACACCTCAAAATGGAAATGGAAATATGGATCATACATTTGACTTGATTTGTTACAAACCTCATGTCATTAGATATCGCAGAAATCACAATGAAAAAATTATATATAGCTCGCATGGCTCTAGATTTTTCATGTTTCTACATTCCACTCCGAACGAAGTCCCGCACACCCAGCCATATTTGAATAATGAGGATTTTGCATCACTTATTCTGCCACTCTTTTACTGGTACTCCAGAAGTATGTGAACCAAGATGGCGGACACCGGAACGTAGTATGTGTACCTAGTTAAAGTTAGGCCGTAATTTCATGTACAAATACTACTGGAGTCACTCGGCTAGTCCTCAAACTCGTAATAGAACTACAATGACGACAATTGGAATAAAACTATGTCCTAACCCTAACCTGGTACTCATACTACGTTCCGGTGTTCGCCATATTGGTTCACATATTACTGAAGCGCCTTTCTATGTTAACTTGACGCAGGTCTCAACTGAAAGAGAACATATAACTGACAGCAGCTACTCAGACGCTCCGAGTAATCAATATTGTTTTGTTCGAATATGGAAATATTTAGAAAAAGTTTTAAAAATAACAAGATTGCCCGTTGACAGAAATATAAATAACAAAAAAAGATTTTTTATTATTTTGGTGGAAGCGAATTTGTTGAGCTTCTCATGGATTATAACAGCAATTACATTGACCCTGACTATGTATTGAATATAGATATTAGCTATCTCTGTGTGAATTTGATATCGACTGCATTGCTTCTCTACATCACTATCTGTCAAATGGTCATCTTTATCAGGAAACGTTTATACATAACAAGAATTCAAAACGTAAAGGATGTCTTGAAGCCTTCAAATATACAATTTCTTATGGATGTTACAATTCTCGTATCTGACATATTTGGTATACATTGAGTGCTTGTTTGACTGCCGTAAATATTGGTAAATTGACTTATACTATAATGTTTAGAAATAATCAATGAAGATAAAATGAACATTGAAATAGAAGATTTTGGAGAGTTAGAAACTATATAGTGGATTTGAAATTGCTTTGGTCAAACTAACTTGCCCAAGTTATACTTGGCCGCACAATTCTTCTACATGTGCTTGATAACATCTGTCTACATGCTGCTGTGGTTAACGACAAACGATGTTTATTACGGAGCCAACTTTAAAACGACTTTCTTCTAAATATTTGAAAATTTTCAGTATTTTCAAGGATGGCTTCATTATATTATCTAGCGTCGTATTGACAATATTATGGTACTATCGTTATACTGGAGATGTTTATGGTTTTAAACATACGCTCGCTTTAATCTTGCTGAGTACTCAGCTTGAAATACAGATTGCAGTCCTCATTCTCTTTTTAGTTCCGTTAATCAAGCACCAACGAAGTCTAAAATTTCTTCATCAAAATCAAAAACCTCCTGATCATCTCATACGACTGATGAAACGTTGCACTGCAGCAACAATTGTTGCTATGGTAACGGACATAGCAACAATCGTAGTATTTCAAATCGCTTCCGAATATTTAATGTCGATTAATGCTCTTATAAATATATGTTGCGTTATATTTTGCTACGCCAATTGGAGAGAAAAGTTCATTCCATGTCTTACATTATGCAAAAATGATAAAGCGGAAGTCAAACAAGTTACCCCGGGCAATGACAATAGACTTTAAGCCAAAAAAGTATTTACTGTTGGGGTTTTCTGTTTAAACTTCGAGCCTGAAATTAATGACATCTCAGTTCAGAATGTCCGGTTCACAATTCGCCTCATTCATAATTTCCCAAGTGAGGAAAAACTCCTCCCCAGTAAGGACTGTCATACAGTATATTACTTACATTCGGTGTAATTTTGCTCATTATGTTATTACTTATCGATCTTGATCGCTAAGTATGTTGATAGGTATTTGTTTGTTTGTATGTTTGTTGTCTGTTAGATTGACGCGATATCTCACGAAGCGAGATTCCAATCACCTCCAAATTTTGCATGTGCATTCATCTCATCTCGGACGAGAAGCCTATCGATTTTAGATGAATTATGTTGTATAATTAGCGAGTTAATAATTAATTAGCGATGTGACACGCGGTGTCGCTATGGAGTAAGAGTAAGTAAGTAACTATTGAATCTATAAGTCTTCGGTCTCCGACCGATATTCTCGTTTTTATTGTTTTTATGTATTATTGTTAACTTAATAATACATGTTTATGCTCATAATATAAGCTATTTAAACTATTCAGAAGTTGGAGTGCTCATAACACTAGCTAGGGATTGAACAATGAGGGGAAACAAAGTTCTATGCATAAATTGCATATAGTGAGGGAGGAACAAAGAGATCCATCGTAGGCTCAGAGTGAACGTTATCGATAAATGCTGAGAACCACTGGTATAAATTCTGATAATATATCTTCACCAAACTTGCTAAACTCGTACGTCTCATAATTATACCCAACTCCACGAGAAATGCTTGTTCATCTAACTCAGTGGTTCCCAACCAGGGTGCCAATGTGCCGCGAAAATATTTTGGTGTGCGGCGAAGCGATTTCATTTTCGAATTTATTTCAAGTGATTCCAATTTCCACAAGAATTACTCACGGCTCTTGCTAACAAACAGAAACGACAAATTTGC